AAAAGTAAGTGTGAAATAAATTTTCTAGTCTTTGCATGTCTTTATTCTCTCTTCATGTTTGATTTGGCTCGGTAATTTCCTCTCAGAATTTTGGAAGGTTTTTTTTTTTCCACTTTTAGCTTCTGGTGTTGGTGTTAAGAAGCTCAATGCTATTTTGGTTTCTATTTCTGTTTTCTTTCCTTTCTTGAAGACTTTAGGATTTTCTCTTTACCCTTCTTATAAAATTTCTCAGAACATGCTGTATGTTGATGTCTTTCTGCACATTGTGCTGGGCCTTGTGAAAGTTGTGTCTAATAGATCTGGGAAATTCTGGTTTTTCCTTTTTTTAAAAATTTTTTCCTGAGACAGAGTCTCACTCTGTCACCCAGGCTGGAGTACAAGGGTGCAATCTCTACTCACTGTGACCTCCACCTCCCAGGTTCAAGCAATTCTCCTGCCTCACCCTCCCAAGCAGCTGGGATTACAGGTGCACCCCACCACACCCAGCTAATTTTTGTGTTTTTAATAGAGATGGGGTTTCATCATGTTGGCCAGGCTGGTCTTGAACTCCTGACCTCAAGTGATTTGCCTGCCTCAACCTCCCAAAGTGCTGGGATTACAGGCATGAGCCACCGCAGTGGCCATTTTTTCTGATTTCTTTTGTCATAATCTTCTATTTTCTCTGGCCTCTTTTTCTGAGAGTCTTATTAATAGGATAGTAGACCTATTCAACTCAGTTTAAGTATTTTACTTGGAGAAATGCATGTGTGGAAGGAAATAGGGAGGGAGTCTGTAACAGCTGAGCCAGCTGTCAGACCATGATGTTAATCTGATCCAGGTGAAGAAGAGAGGGAAGGAAGGTTGGTAGAAATGTCCTAAGCATTCCTGCAACCCAAGGTCCAGCAAAGCTGCCAGGGAATCCCTGAGACAAAGCCTGTAGACAGAGGACTCTCCTGTCTGTTAGGAATAACCCAGCCTTAGTATTTTTGTTGCACTCAATCACTGGCAGTAGTCTAAGCCCTGGCAGCATGGACCCAGGGCAAGCACAATTTGAATTCTAAAGACCCAAAGGTCTGAGGGGCCAAGGCCATGGCCATTACTATAAAATAGGTTCCATTACCATTGTGATGGTTGAATGTGTTCATCCCTCCATGGTTGATGGTTCAGTGCACCTAGAACAGTGTCAGGCACATCATAACCACTCAAAAAGTGGGTTTTGTTTTCCAGCTTTATTAAGGAATAGTTGACAAAAATTATATATATTTATGGTATACAATATGTTATTTTTATACGTGTATACAATGTGAAATGATTAAATGAAGCTAATTACCATATCCATCACCTTATCACATACTTATCTTTTTTGTGGTGAGAACATCTAAGATTTTCTTAGCAATTTTCAAGTATGAAATATTTTATTAACTGTAGTCACCATGCTGTACAAGATGCCCAGAACTTACTCATCCTGCATAACTAAAATTTTCTACCCTTTGACAAACATCTCCCTATTACTCCTCTGCCCCATCAACCCCTTTGGCAGTCTTTGGCAACAGCCATTCTACTCTTTGCTTCTATGAGCTTGACTTTCTTAGGCTTCACGTATCAGTGAGGTTGATTACGCCTTACTTGTCTTTCTGTGTCTGGCTTATTTCACCAAGCATAATGTCCTCCACATTCATCTATGTTGTGGAAATGACAGGATTTCCTTGTTTTTTAAGGCTGAATAGTATTCCATTGCATATACACAGCACAGTTTCTTAATCCATCCATTTGCTGATGGATAATACTTGGGTTGATTCCATATTTTGCCGGTTGTGAATAGTGCTGCAACAAACATGGGAGTGCAGATAACCTTTCAACGTATTGATTTCATTTCCTTTGGATATATACCCAGAAGTGAGATTTCTTGTTCCTATGGTAGTTCTATTTTTAATTTTGTGAGGAACCTGCATACTGTTTTCCATAATAGCTGTACTAGTTTACATTCCCACCAACAGTGTGTAAGGTCTCTCTTTTCCCCACATCCTTGAACTCAGAAAGTGTTATGGTTATTGAATGCCAAGGAGAAACCCACCATGCTGTGTGATTAGCTAAAAAATATTATTATAAATTTTGTGCTCTAAATCTCAGAATGTATTTACTTTTATTTTAAGCACTATCCTAATAGGGTTGCTTAGCTTGAATACAATCCAAAGCCAGGTTAGAAACGGCACATTAAAAATCAAAAGCTCATGAATATTATAACAATAAGAAAGCTGTGAAATGTTAGTTTGACAGGAGGAGAAAAGACAGAACAACAAGAAAAAGCAAACACAATGATAAAAGCACAAATTTTCAGGGTTTTTAACATTAGGAAACAGCTCCAGAAACTTCAATGGGAATGGGTGTCCCACGGTATTATACAGAATGTAACAACTGCTGTTCATAATAATGACCCTGATATATCAAGAAAGTGCTTTACCAGCACTTTGAGGAGGTAGAAAAGTATGACATGCATTTTTAAATAATTTCCATCTATAGCACATAAAAGAAAAAGAAAAATATTGCATGATCTCATTTACATGTGGAATCTAAAAAAAATCAAATAGAGTGGTTACGAGGAGTGGGGTGGGAGAAGAGGAAATGGGGAGATGTAGGTCAGAGGATAAAAGTAGCAGATATGTAGGAGGAACAAGTCTGGAGATTCATTACACACCACGAGGACTACAGTAACAAAATTGTACTTATATGCAACTCATGCTAAATGAGTAGATTTTACTGCTCTTGCCACAAAGACCAAAAAAAAATGGGCAACTCTGTGAGATGATGGATATGTTAATTTGCTTCAGTACAGTAACATTTTTTCCTATGCATATGTATCCCATAACATCATGTTGTATACCTTAGACATACACAAAATTCATTTTAAAAATAAAATTTTAAAAATAAAGTCAAACTTATAAAATCACAAAGAAAAAAAGAAAACTGCAGAGAAGTTGCATAGAAACAGTAAATCTTTGGGAGTTCTGGACAGATGCTAGTTTTATCAATTCATCTAATATATGACTTTTTCTGTGCATAATGGCACATCATTTCTTAGTATCACTTGATAATGAACAATCCTTACTCTTGTCATTTTACCACCTGATTTTATGTTGAGATTCCCCACACCTTTTGTGGCATTTGTCATTACTGCTTCGGCTCACTTCCTTCCTAAGCAAACATAAAATGTCTTTGAGGAATAGCAGCAGAACTTCCAACCCATCTAAATTAAGCTCCCAGGATGGGTCGCGCCATTCCTGTGGTGGACACTGAGCGGGCTCTCACACTGAGGACACACACACCTGTCTGGACATTGCCCCTGCTTCCTTGCCAGTTTGCTTCATCTGGCAGCAGATCCTTGCTTCCACCCAGCACTCCTTTCCGCATGTTCCTGTTCTTGCATGTGAACCCCTGACATGTACAATGTTCACAAATACTGGGCTGGCAACCAAACTGCTGACATGGGATATGACATCAATGCCTTTGGAGTAAAACTCTATGATAGCTCATTTTCTAACCTCTCAGGAGTACTCAGAGCCTAAGAAGCTGCTGTCTAGAGCAACAGACTTTCATCTTGATATTGGGCTGCTTATAGCAGCCATACAAAGAGTGAAGCACAGAGAATGACAGAGCGAAAGAAAGAGAGAAGTGAGATTGAGAGCTGAGAGACACATACACAGGCAGAGGCAAATAAAGACAACATGGCAGCATGCTTATAGTATCCGGAACACATTTCAGGATTAACAACAAAAGCGGAATCTGCCACATTTTCCCATTGATTTGTCAGCTCCTTGAAGATTGCCTTTTGCTTGCATCGACACTAAGTAAAATTTATGAGGAGGAAAGCACTGTCATGCTAAACAGGCAGTGCTTAACTATGTTTGGTAACAAAGCACAAAAGACCATACCATAATGTCCTAAAGAAATCTGTTCCTGACATTGCTACAAGGATTAAAATAGCTGTTAATTTTGCACAGGTTTAATTTTCCCAAGTTCCTGCCTGATATCTCCTTTTAAGTCACCTGCTTCTTGGTTTAAAGGATTGTGCTAAATTCTAAACATCCTATGGAACAACCAGTTTTTAAAAAATTTTATCCAATTTACTTCCCCTTCTTTCTCTTCTATTATCAATTGGATGGCCTTCTAAAGTCATTTCTTTTCTATTAGTATTTTCTCTGTTCCTTTTTATTCGAATCAACATCTACACATTTTGAAATATACAAATCCACAGTAAAATAACCAAAATAAACAAGTAAAAGCAGGCAGAACCTGAGCCTGATATTTCAGGTTGTTGCTTTTTTGTCTCTCTCTCTTTTTTTTTTTTTTTTCAATTCCATATCTTCTTTTCTTTTCTCTATTTTTTCAAGAAATGAAATTAAATGCACTACGGCTCCTCAGAAATGAGTAAATTCAAGACAATAGTTGAGTAACCATCTTTAGAAACAAAAATTTGTCTGAATTTAAAACTGTTAAGTTTCCATTTTCCTCAAACTAAATTGGTCAACTATGGGGAAAAAAGTAATATGAAGCATTCTAACTTTTGATTTGAGTACAGACAACATGTTGGCTAATTTGTATTGATTATATCTGCCAATCTAGATGCAATCACTTTTAAAAGCAGAGTCCTGTAATTCGCTTTTCTATAAAATGTCACCAATGCATTAAATACTTCGAAAACAGTCTTTGTAAATCAATCTGTACTTATTAGATTTATTTAAATGATAGCATTAGAGTTCCATGCCGAGATTTAATTTGGCTTTAAAATAACCCCCTACATGCAGAACACTTCCTAGGGTGGGAGAGGCTAGTTCCCAATTATTTTCATGCCGTCAGTACCAAAAGTGTTTAATGACTCACTTACCTACAAGCTGTGAGTTGTCTGAAGAACTCTCTATTCAGTGGGATGCACACATTTTACTTAAGGCTATCTTATAGGGAAAAAAAGGAAAGAGCACAGAACCGTAGCATTTTCCAATGAAATGAAAAGTAAAAGACCTTACCTTGTTCGTGTCAAAGGTATTATAAACTTGATCAACATGTTTATTGGCCTTCTGATTCAGACCTTGCAGACCCAAAAGCGTCTTAAATTCATGTAGCGTTTGCAGGCCAGATGGATATTCCGTCATAAATGTTCTGTACCACACATGGGTCCCTTGTGTAGGAACTGCTCTCTGATCACCAGCTATAGATTTGCCATTCCCCATCTTGACTCACAGTCTACAGCTTTTCCTCAGGTTGTTTTCACGTAAGTTTTCACTGGATTTAGTCCCTTACTCCTCACTAAAACTGAAGGCTAACATATGCCCTCAGAAAGCTACTCTAAACCTCTTACAGCAACAAGCTAAATAAGAATAGAAAGCCAGTGAGATTAACTCATCTGCCCAGTTTTAAAACCAAGGTCACTTGGCAGTTGGTAACTAACATGCTTACAGTCATGCAGAGACATAGTTTTTTGGGAAGGGAAGAGGCAATATTTTAGAGAGGGTGACCCTTGTTATATTGTTAGCCATCAATTTTGCCTATATTATGGAGTGGTACAGTGGGTCTAATGGCAGGAACTTTGAGGTGCAATCAGGGAGCCTAGATTCTATGCTTTGTTCTACCACTTATTAACTACATTGAAACATTACTCACATTCTTGTCTGTTTCCTCATCTGTGAAATAGGAATAAAAGTATCTGCCTTTTCATACCTGAGTATTGTGAAGATAAATTTAGATAACATTTTTACATGAAAAAATCATACATTGAGTATTATTAAAAAGAAGTCTATGTATAAGAGAGAAAAATAGGTAGAGAGAATCAAATAGTAGTCAGAAGAACTTTAGATGTAGCAGTCAGATAAAGGAACATATTGGGCTGTGTCTTCTGGTGTTGGTCTTCCCTTCTCTCCCCTACCCTCTGTTCTTACCTTTTTCTGGTCTCTCAAGTATCTACACATGCCATTGGCCTGCGAGCTTTATCTCACTCCAGTTTTCTAATCTGGCTAATCTTGTCCTAACCAAGCCCCATTTGCCAATGAATTTAAGAACAGGGTCAATGGACCTAAGAACTGTATCCAAGGTCCATTAGTGGAAATGAATGCTTTGTGTGGTCCTCAACCCATTTTGCTACCAACCATACTTAGAACCAGATAACCCCAGGTGGAATATAATTCTGTTACTCCTGAATTATAGTTCCTTGTTTTTTTGTGTTTTTTTTTTGTTGTTGTTGTTGTTGTTGGTTTTTTTTGAGATGGAGTCTTGCTGTGTCGCTCAGGCTGGAGTACAGTGGCGCGATCTCAGGTCACTGCAAGCTCCGCCTCCCAGGTTCATGCCATTCTCCTTCCTCAGCCTCCTGAGTAGCTGGGACTACAGGCGCCCGCCACCATGCCAGGCTAATTTTTTGTATTTTTAGTAGAGATGGGGTTTCACCGTGTTAGCTAGGATGATCTCAATCTTCTGACCTTGTGATCCACCTTGACCTCTCAAAGTGCTGGAATTACAGGTGTGAGTCACAGTGCCTGGTCTACAGTTCTCCTTTTCTAACCTCACTCAATTCTTTCTTTTATTTCCATTTTGGCCCAGTTCATACATCTGGTTTCTGTCTTTGTCCCTATTCCTTAGTCCTGACTACCTGTTTATTATAAAATCCTTGATTCCTAAGAAGGAGCCATCGGGGCCTAAATGAATTGCGTTGACCAGAAGTGGTGGTGGTTATGGTGAATATGGTTAATTTTGTTTCAAACATATCAATGTAGACTCTCAATGGGACATTTTGATGTCACAATTAAATAATAGGGCTGGGCACAGTGGCTCATGCCTGTGATCTCAGCACTTTGGGAGGCCAAGGTAGGTGGATCCCTTGAGGTCAGGAGTTCAAGACCAGCTTGGGCAACCTGGTGAAATCCCATTTCTACTAAAAATACAAAAATTAGCCGGGCATGGTGGCGCATGCCTGTAATCCCAGCTACTCAGGAGACTGAGGCAAGAGAATCATTTGAACCCTGGAGGCAGAGGATGCAAGTGAGCTGAGATTGTGCCATTGCACTCCAGCCTGGGTGACAGTGAGACTCTGTCTAAAAAAAAGGTGAAAATAAGGTCATAGAATGTGAAACTTATCATACCAATTTGAAAGAATTACCTGAAACCATTAGAGTGAATGATATTCTTTTTTAGACAGCAAAAAGGACAAAGGGGAGACAGTGAGGACTCAGCCTCGAGATTATTCAGCTTGGAATGAGAGAAATATCCTGCTAGAATTTTCAAAAAGCATTCTTTGGGGAAGTCCCCTTTAAGATTCTTTCTAAATGTCTGCCAGAGGATGCTCAGAGGCACTGACTTCTTATCACCATTAACATTTATTAATCACTAATTTTTAAATTAAAGAAAAAATGGTACAGACGATGGCAGAGGAAGGTAGTAAAAGTTTTCAAGGAGGCAAGAAAATCCTTTGAGGAAGGAAAACTTTGGATGGATCAAGAATATAAGGACCTGAGATCCAGAAACTGTTTCTTCATATAAATGTACTTTAAAGAAAATTGGCCAAGTACAGTGGCTCACGCCTGTAATCCCTGCACTTTGGGAGGCCGAGGTAGGTGGATCACCTGAGGTTGGGAGTTCGATACCAGCCTGACCAACATGGCAAAACCCAGTCTCTACTAAAAATACACAATTAGTCAGGCATGGTGGTGTGGCACCTGTAATCCCAGCTACTCAGGAGGCTGAGGCAGGAGAATCGCTTGAACCCGGGAGACGGAGGTTGCAGTGAGCGGAGATCGTGCCATTGTACTCCAATCTGGGCAACAGGAGTGAAACTCTGTCTCAAAAAAAAAAAAAAAAAAGAAAAAGAAAAAAGAAACAAAAAGAAAACCTGCATAATGATCATTTGCTGATGCAGAAAAAAACTTTAAGGTTATTTGTAAAATAAGAATTCTAATATTGAATACAGTATTGAAGTCCAAAAATCAGGAGTCTTGCTGTATAGAACATTAGCCAGTCATAAGATAATGGGAAAAAGCCTCCATTTATGATAGGCTAAAAAATAAATCTAACTGCAATAAATATAACTAGGAATGTGCAAGATGTATTTGAAGAAAATTTTAAAATGGTAGTATAGGGTTCCAATGGAGACTTGAGGATATGCAAAGGCATATCTTGGTCTTGGGTAGAAAGACTTAATATTAAAAACATATCAGTTCTCTCCATATTAATCTGTATTATCACCACAAACCCCCATCTAAAAAATATAAATAGAATTTGAGGGGTAGTGGTGGCTACAAAATGTAATTCTGAGAATCAAGCATAAAAAAATACACAAAAAATTTTGAATAAAATTATTAAGTAGCCCTACCAAAAACAACATGAATCTGGCATGAGAAAAGATGAAGCACTCAATGAAAAATAAATAGATTCTTTTTTTAACTAGGCTCAATTACAAATAAGAATTTAATATGCAGTAAGGTATGGTAAGACATAGGAAATAACTGATTATCAATGAATAATTCTGGTACAAAGCTATGGCTATGTGGAGATGCACACACACACACACACACACATACACACAAAGGATTTCTAACTTACTTCTCACTCCAAAATAAATTTTAGATGAATCATAGGTTTAACAATATAGCCGGGCGCGGTGGCTCAAGCCTGTAATCCCAGCATTTTGGGAGGCCGAGACGGGCGGATCACGAGGTCGGGAGATCGAGACCATCCTGGCTAACACGGTGAAACCCCGTCTCTACTAAAAAAATACAAAAAAAAACTAGCCGGGCGAGGTGGTGGGCGCCTGTAGTCCCAGCTACTCAGGAGGCTGAGGCAGGAGAATGGCGTGAACCCGGGAGGCGGAGCTTGCAGTGAGCTGAGATCCGGCCACTGCACTCCAGCCTGGGCGACAGAGCGAGACTCTGTCTCAAAAAAAAAAAAAAAAAAAAAAAAAAAAAACCAATATAAATCACTATAAGAAAACAAAGCAAAATTATTTTATAATTTTAGCATGGGACAGTCCTCTCTAAATATGACCATAGAAGCCATAAACAAAAGGAAATTCAATCATAATCTTTTAAAAAATCCCAGATGACCCAAAACACCATAAAAACAAAACTTAAAAGTTGGTTAGAAAATATCTGTAATATATATCACATAAAAAAGATAGTATCCCTACTGTGAAGATAGTTCTTACAAATCAATAAGAAAAATACCCACCATCAAGTAGAAAAATTGACAAAGTCCAAATTTAAAAATCTGAATGACTTTTAAACATATGAAAAGATGCTCAATCACACTCAAAGTATAAGAAATGTATGTTCAAACTACAAGGATATACCACTTTTCACCTGTTTGATCAGCAAGATAAGAAAGTCTGGTAATCCACCAGGTAGGTGAAGGTGAGAGGAAACAGGAACTCATACGTTGCTGTAGGAGTGTAGACTAACACAATTTTTTCAAAGTGCTATTAGGCAATGTCTATTCATAATAAAATGCATATACCCTTTGATCCAGAAATTCGTTTGCTGAGACATTTGACAGACATAATTGTACCTGTGTGAAATGAACAAATTTATAAGGATATTCACTGTTGTGCATATGTAAATCCAAACGAACAATAAAAACCTAAACATGCATTGATAAGGAAATGGTTAAACAGATTTAGTATTTCCATTGAATGAAATAATAAGGAGCAGCTGAAGATAATGAGAGGTTATCTCATTATCTCTCGATATATATGTATTATTACATGTATTGGTCTCAATATGGAATGATCTTGAAGGTATATTGAGTGGAAAAAGCAACAGCCCCATCTTTTGGATGCTATTACATCCATATCTATAGCTATATCATGATATATATGGTTTTACAGATAATTGATTGCGGATAGATTTACAAGTAACTGGTAAAAACATGCCTCTTGAGAAGAGTATTTAAGTGGCTAAAGGCAAAAATGAAATAAAAAGTTTACCATATTCCATTTCCATGTTCCAGGCTTTTGCTATGTTCATATCATAAATTAAAATTATACAGTTTCACAAATGAATATTAAATGTTTTATTGTTTTTGTCTAAAGTTTCAGACATTTCTGAACAAAAAAAACCCAACCACTTATCAAGAAAAGTGTAAAAACATGCTTATTTATGTATATATAAATGTGAAACAACAATTTTTACCTATGTGTAATATATATACATATTATGCTTAGGAGATTTATTATTTTACTATGACAAAATAATAAAATTATATAAGCTATATCTCTGTTTTGAGAGGATTTGTACTTTCTGCTTTACTGAGTGTTGGCTATAGTGGAGAAAGGGTATAAAGTCTTTCTTTTTCAACATCTTCAAGAGGAGGTGAGTCTGTAGTCCTTTGCATATTGATTTTGAAAACATCTGCTTTTAAATTTTTTTAAGGAATAACAAAATTACAATAACAATATTTTAAGGAATAACAAAATTTAAGCTTGAGTGACATTTTCATTTTTTTCAGTAGCTCACAAGAAAATTAGAGAACTCTAAATATTATTAATATTTCTGAAAGAAAAGGAAGATTTAGACAATAGGATTAGGGGATATATAAATTGTAAATCGGTCTCCATTTCTAGAGTGTACAATTTTCTTATTCAAAAAAAATTATTTCTTATTTCTTATTGTTAAACAGAATAGACTTTACAGTAACAACAAAAAAGAAAAATTTTTAAAAGAATCTTTCAACTTTCTTATCAGCATTTTTTAAAAGGGAATACCTTCTCTGACTTAATTTTCAGGAATCTTTTCATTTTTTTTCTAAAGGGAGTCTATGTCTTGTATCTATAGTCACTTTATTTAAATTGTTCTGGAGGAGGCGATTATCTTCTTTAAGCAAAGCTTCTAAATAAGTGTCAATCTGCTCCAGGTCACCTTCTGGACCACCCTGGAAAAGAGAAGCAACAGTCACACCAGGGAAAGAAGCTGTAGAGCTTATTCCTGTAATTTGGGCAGCTTCCTAACAGTCTTCCCTATGACTCCTGCTGCAACAAAAGCCACCTTACATTTGAATCATGCTTTTAACCTTTCAAAATGTTTTCTCATTTAATGTCATTTTATGCTAACAAGTGGTTAGAAACTTGGTTCATTTTTTTATTCTTTAGTGGAAGTTAGTACAACTGTTTTTTCTCTTTTTAAAAAATTACTTGCTATATTCCTAAAGCCCCCTCAGTCTAATCTCATCCTTCTCTGTTATAGGCTGTCATCTCCTATTTTTAAAATTAATGAATCTTTAGCCTTATAGGCAAAAAATAGACAAGTAGCCAAATTCTGTCTTCTCTGTTTCTTCTATTTCCATTGCAGTGTCTTTTTCCTCAGTTCTTGGCTTACTACCCTGGTCTGTCTCCTTCTCTTTATCCTCCCTTTCTCTCTTTTACTCAGCTCCCTATTGAGGTGATTTCATGCTCTCCTTTCCTGGGCTTCTTGATCCAATGAACAGTTAGACGTGTGAGGGGGGGTCTTCAAAAAGTTCATGGAAAATGCATATTATGAAAAAACTACATAGGCACAGATTTCAAAATTTTTGAACAAAAATAAACTCACACTAAGTTGTTATGACATATTTGACCAGAATGTAGTTTGAGGCACTAAAAGGATAAGATAACCAGTTTGAAAGAAGCCACTATCAGACCAACATGGATTCTGCTGCAATTGAGGCAAGAACAAAGATCAAATATATGGTGAAACTTGGGTGGAAGAATGGTAAAATCATTCATGCTTTACGAAAAGTTTATGGGGACAATGTCCCCAACAGAGAGCCTATAACAGAAGGATGAGATTAGACTCAGGGGGCTATAGGACTATGGCAAGTAATTTTTAAAAACAGAGAAATCAGCAGTTTATAAACGGATAACTTGAGAATGGATGAGATGATGTTGAAGAGGAAGCTGGCAGTGTCAGACTGTTCACATCCCTTTGCAATGAAAAAGCTAATCTTCTTCATGCTCTAACTGGAGAAGACGGATGATAATTAATAGCAGAAACAATCGCCAACACCACAGACATCTCAAGTAGTTCAGCTAACACAATTCTGACTGAAAAATTAAACTTGAGCAAACTTTCCACCCAATGGGTGCCAAAACCACTGTGCCTAGATCAGCTGCAGACAAGAGCAAAGCTTTCAATAGAAATTGTAGACAAATGGGATCATGATCCTGAAGGATTTCTTCAAAAAACTGTAACAGGAGATGAAATGTGGCTTTGCAAGTATGATCCTGAAGACAAAGCAATGGCTACCTAGAGGTGGAAGAGGTCCAGTCAAAACAACAGTGGTCGGTCAAGAGCAAAGGTCATGACAACAGTTTTTTGGGATACTCAGGGCATTTTGCTTGTTGACCTTCTTGAGGGCCAAAGAACAATAACACCAGCTTATTATAATGGTGTTTTGAGCAAGTTAGCCAAAGCTTTCATAGAAAAACGCCTGGGAAAGCTTCATCAGAGTCCTCTTCCACCCTGACAATGTTCCTGCTTATTCCTCTCATCAAACAAGGGCAATTTTGTGAGAGTTTTGACGGGAAATCATTAGGCATACCTTATCGTCCTGATCTGACTCCTTCTGACTTCTTTTTAAAAAATCTTTAAAAAAATCTGTAAAGGGCATCCATTTTTCTTTAATAATGTAAAAAAGATGGCATTGACATGGTTAAATTCCAAGAACTCTTAGATCTTTAGAGATGGACTGAAAGGCTGCTGCCATTGTTTACGTAAGTGTCTTGACCTTGATGGAGATTATGTTGAAAAATAAAGTTTACATTTTTACTTTTAACTTTTAATCCCATTTTTCCACAAACTGTTTGAGCTCCCCTTGAATGTTCCCTCTTGGCTGACTGATCTAAATCTCATTCCCTTGGGCCCAACTATGGGATCAACTAACTCTCCAACTGAGCAGATAGATAAGAGGATTTTTTAGGAAGGGCCTTTCAGAAGCAATCCCAGCACTAAGTGTCTAGCACCATTAACCTTGCCTCTGCATCTCTTCTCTGGTTCCATAAAATGTGCTTCAGCTTTACTCCCTCTACCATAGATTTGCTCTAACAAGGCTGAATTGTACTGAGTTCCAGCTTTTGACTGGGATACTGTTCCTACAGATGGATTACAATGATGCTGATATTTACCTTGACTTCCAAATATTCGCTGACCCTGAAGAATGCCTTGTGACCCTGACACAAAGCACTTCTCGTCCTGTTAGATATAATCTGATCTTTTGGCTATTATCCTCTGCCTGGTGGACTAAACTTCTTCCAGCATGCTACATTATTTCCATGCTCGGCTTCTTCACGTGCCTGCCCCACCTCTATCTGCTCTGGGTCCCTCATCTCGATTCTCTGCTGTACTCTACTGCAGTGGCTCTGGCAATCAGAGACTGTGAAATAGAACTTTCATGTTGGGGGATGAGAGTAATACATTTGGGCAGGAGCCCTTTAAGTGCCTCTCCACTGAGACTAGGCAAAAGAGTTTCATACTCTGCTGGCTGAAGCCCTTCACCCGCCTACCAAACTTTGTGAATACAGTAAATTAAATTAGTATGGTTACTCTGGCTGCTGCTTAAGAACCTAGAGGTTTGGCAGAGGAGTAGTAAATGATTATTCTTTCAGTTTTCTTAGCCAAATGTGGATTTGCTATTATGAAAGTCAATTATTTTATAAACCTGTTTAATAGTCAGGAAGTGGTATTCAATCTCTAGGATACAGAATTTCTTTGGTCTTTCTAGTTTACTTGTTAAATGAAACAATAATCGTCACTGAAACACTACCATGTGCTAGGCTCCATACCAGACTTTCAACACGTGAAAACATTTGGCATCCTTCACAGCCACAAGAACCAAAAGGAGCTCTACTGAAATCCTACTCTCATAGCAATAAATAAACTAGACAAATTGGCTGAAGCGCTATGGTTGATAGAAGCACACATACAATTACCTTTATATAAAAATTAGTATTAAACATCCTTTTAAATTTTAATAACATAACATTTTAACTGTTGCCTAGACCATCAAAGGGGAGAGGGACTTTTCTTTTGGCAATACACTTAAGCAAAAAACAACAACAAAAAAAGCTTTTCTGCATTTTGTCTTGTACTTAATATAAATTTCAGATGAATTAAAAGATTTATTTTTTTGAAGTGGGAAAGGACTCCCACTTTTAAATGTTTACAACCAGGACTGAGACCCAGGCAGTTTGGCTTCAAGGTCCATGTTCTTCACACGTTATACAGATGTATGTATGGCGAGTTTCCTTGTCTCTCCCCAGCCCTTTCAAGGGCAAGGCAATCCAATCCTCTAGCCAATCCTCCATAAGGGTCTCAGTTCCTGTCCCCTCACCTTCCGTGGCCCATGAAGTCTCTGTCCCCTGTTCCAGCACTCAGGGCCTATATTTGAGGACAAAATGCCACAGGCTCCCCAGGCTCACTGTTCTGGCTTGGATTTCTCAATTTATTTCTAGAATCCACAGGAAGACTTTCAATCTTGACTACATGTATTTTCAGTTTTGTTGTATTGTATGCAGCATTTCCATGTGTTATAGAAGACGGGCTCTTCCTCATTAGTTCAACCTATCACATAACTCAATTCTTTATACATTAAAACACACAAACAAAACTGACAGTAATCCATACTTACATGATGTTTCCTGACTTCTCCCAAACTGTCCTCTAAGATTAAAAGGGTTTATTTTTATTTATGCATTAAAATAAAAGTAAAGTAAAATATTTCTCTGTCTGAAAAAACTGAAAAAATTACCTACTGGTCACATGTTATTAAGGGGACACCAAAGGTGATCATGCTATACCAACAGCACAAGCAAAGATTCTGAATTAAGATACAAAAGAACGTGCGCCTGTAGTTCCAGTTACTTGGAAGACTGAGGCAGGAGGAATCACTTGAACCCAGGAGGCGGAGGTTGCAGTGAGCCGAGATCGCGCCACTGCACTCCAGCCTGGCAACAGAGCGAGACTCCATCTCAAAACAAAACAAAACAAAACAAACAAACAAACAAAAGATACGAAAGAACACAAAGTTTCTAAATGTTCTAATATATGCTTTCACAATTCATTTATTTAGGATTTTGAAATCCTTATGTGGAGACAAAGGGCTGACTTAAGTGACTTGTCCAGGTCAGTAAGTGAATGACAATGTTAAGAGAAGTTAGCTGAGTTCTCGTTCCGGAGAGTCTACTCCTACTGCTCAGATACAATTTTTTCACTCACCAGTTGAAGTTTCTGCAACAATAGTGCCAGTTTTATACGAAGATTCTTCAACTTATCCTCAGAGATTTTTCTTTTATTTTCACATTGCCCCACAGAGATTTCATTATGTATTCCTCTTGTATTTGAATCATAGATAACGGACTGCAATTTCCTCTTTATTTTTTTTTCATATTGGACCATGTAAGTATTCTGTATCTGGGAATGTTTTAAAAACAGTTTTAGCATGTTTTTAAAATATTACTTTCCCCCTAGTATCACTAGACAATTTCATATTCCAACTCTGCCTACATGCACCAAGTGTCAACTTTGTAGGTAAGTACTACAGGTGGTCTAAATTTAGGAAATGTTGCTACCCTTAAGGAACTTACATACACTCTGACGGAAGACTAAGAAGAGAAAAATGTATAATATTTCAGTAATTGTAATTATGAGGAGGAAAGAGACACATGACAGTGAGCTTGGAGACCTCTGCTCTGGAATGAAGAAGAAACCTTGTAAAAGTTGAATCTGTTCTCCCAATGGTGATCACCAGATTATTTAAGGCACAAAATGAGCAGGTGCCTGTGACTCCCTCTCCGCAGCACCAGTAATTCACAGGCAATGACAGAATGGCCCACCACCTGGGGCTGTCTGGCAGATGATGTAGTGTTACTTGTGAGGCAAGGCTGTAGCATCTAGAAAGCACAGAAACTACAGAAAGAGGAATTCCTGTTCTCACTCTCTTTGGGTTCCTTACCATGATACAAAAAGTATAGGCAGTTATATATATGACCCTCATTAATTGAAGAATCTTGGTTGTGTTCCAAAATTTCATGCTGTGCCTGAGGCACTCATGAAGTAGAAAGAGGTAATGGAGACGCCAAATGCTTCGGTTTCAGAATGACATTAATTGCTTGTATAAACATTTCTAGAAGGCCAAGTGATATTTTGAGAAAAGAGATACAGGGCAAATTCCACTTTGATAAGCATTTGGATGTTTATGTAATAAGGAGATTTATGTGTTCTAATATGACTGGGTTGCCAAGAAAGTGGTGAGGTAGCCTCATTTGTCTTTTGGGCCTACCTTTCCCTCTTCAGACCCTCCACTACGTTGACTGTGTGCAGACCCTTCTCTGACGTCCACATCATCTCCTTTAGCATTCACTGACCTCACAAATTTCGCCTTTTTCTACAAAATCCTTTAAACAAGCAAGCGAAAATCCCTACATATAGGAAATTCTGTTTAATAAATATTCACTAACTAGTTCCTAACTCGAAAGCACTGCATTTGATTATAGATGATGTGGAGATATATAAGGTACAGTCTTTGCCCTCAAGAACTCTCTAGTCTATAGCATGAGATAATACAAGTGTGCAAATAAATCCTATGGAAAATAAGGACCTTGTGCCCACAAGTAAGGCACTAAATAGCAGGGATTCAGGACAGCAGATAATGCAGCACTCACAGCAAGGGAATTTCAAACATATGGGTAAATCCTCCTTGAAACCCAGGCTACATTTAAAGATCCTGGAACGGAATCCACTTTTGAACATCTTTAATTCAACCTACAAGCTGATGCCTTAAAACTAAGGCAACCATCACCTCCACCAGGAAGCTTCATAGATGCTTCCTATAGAGGCTGCAGGCAAAGCCAGGGAGAGACATCTACTGCCTGAAGGTGGAGGAGGAGGAATAATCCAACTCAGCTGGAATAAGGAGAACAGCGTTACATACAGTTCACATGTCACTAGCCACTTACAGTTTTCAGAACTCTAGAATGTTATAGCTTTTGCCATGCTGAATAATAGTCAGAAAACACTTTTTTCATAAAAATAAAAGCCACAGTAAAATAAACCAAAACAAATCAAAGAAATATCAAAAATGGCAAACATTATGGAAATATTATTTGAAAAAACAACAGTATTGCTCAAATCAGCCATAAAAAGGAACCTGCTATTGACACACTTAAATGGACCTGAAGTGATGCTGAATAAAGGCAATTGTCAAATGACACATACATATGATTCCATTTCTACAGCATTCCTGAAAAGACAAAGTGATAGAGATGGAGAACAGATTATTGGATGCCAGGAGTTAGAGTTGATTGTGGAAGGGCTGAGTGGATATGACTATAAAAAGGTAGCATAAGGGAGATACTTATGGTAATGAGAATTCTGCATCCTCATTTCGGTAATGGTTATACAAACTTCCATGTATGATGAAATGACATAGAACTATACACACACATTTTACCAAATTCAATTTCCTCGTTTTGATATCGTACCAGAATTATGCATAATTATGTACTGGAGGAAACCGGGCGATGAGTACACAGGACCTCTCTGTATTATTTTTGCAACTTCCTATGAATCTATAATTATTTTGAAATTAAAAGAAAAAAGCAAAAACAAAAAGCCTCGACACTATTAATACGAGATGAGACCACGAATGTTTATATAGTACTCTACAAAGTCATTCAGTCTCTGCAAGTTTACCTTTTAGTAACCAGTAAACTATGTTTTTGTCAAATACTACAGGCCAGCTTTTTGGTTTACTCTCCTGCCTTTCTCTCCAGGTTCTGCTAACCTCTCCAGGAAGTTTCTATGAAAGGTAACGATTTTGACAACTTTTCAAGCTCCGTGTAAAAGGACATCTAGTTGTATTAGCTTTTTTTTGTGTTAACATTTTAATTAAGGTGAGAAAATAATTGTAGCAAGATGAGAGGCTTAGTTCTGCTGGTTAAACCCACTCTTGTAGAGGTATCTGCAGATCACAAACCAAATTCTTTCCAAACTACATTAATTCAGAATGGAATTAGTATTTGAAAGAAAGGATATTTAACTGAGATTTTAATTTTCTGCCTTGAATTCAAAGAGCAGGAGCTCTAGCAGTTTCGCAGCTCCAAAATCCTAACGAGTTGTGCAAAGTAAGGAAGGCCTACAACATCTATAGATTTTGTAGCATACAAACAGGAATATTCATTTAAGTGTTTATGTTGGCAGGTACTAAAGCAGAAACAATCGACTTTGATTCAACATGTAACTATGAAGATCCAGATGCATTCAAAGGCACTGGTTGATTGCTGCTAGAATACAGAGTTTGATGACAGGATTATTGACTTCAAGGATTCTATCATCTAACTGAGGAGAAAATGAAATATAATAAACTATTATAAGGTAGAAATGTTAATAATGCTAAACAAAGTTTTAACTTTCTCCCAGAACACAGAGAGGTCAAGATTAATTTCTCATGGAGAAACTGAGAGTCTTCACCTAAAAGATAATATTGACCAAGCTCAATGGGGAAGGATTTCAAGAGGCCGACTGTGTATTGGGATAGTGGATAGGAGTATTTTGGGGAATATCAGGAAGGGAAAGGCTCAGAGGTAGACCAGTGTAAGTAAGTTGGAACAACTCTGGGGCACTCATTTTAGCTGGAACAGACGGCTTCTGAGGAAAGAATAAAAGATGACGGTTTGAGTCAGGTGATGCAGGACCACCAATGCCATTATGAATCAGCTACTACTACAATAGTAGTTATGAAAACCACAGTTGTGACCAAGGAAGCCTGTGACTTATGTAAGTTTCTCCTATGCTGTGATGTGGCTCTCTTCATTAAATGTACAGAACTTCAGTCAAGTTGTTCTGTGTTTCGCTTACAAGATCTCATTTCAACAGGAACTTCTGGTCTCCTGACTGTTTATCTTGCTTTGATTTTTTGAACCCGACTTGCCCTGCATGTTAAGGGGATACTGCTCATCATCTACGCTAACACTGTTCACCCCGAATAAACACGTATCTTATTCACTCTGGCTCCATTACTAATAGTGTAGACATTGGAAAAAATATTTAGAAACAGATATGAAAGGGTATATATAAGCTTGGATAAACAGCTATATGACAGTATAATTCTTAGCACATTTCTAAGTTTTACAGTGTATTCAAATCAGAGTATCCTAGCCAGTAAATGGAGAGCTACAGGAAGATCCAGGAGCCTTACTGATAAGCTCCTCAAGCTGACTGCCACAGACTTTCAGTTGGGACAATGAATTCCTGGTGGCCCAACAAGCCAACCCATCTACCACACACACCCCACATAAATATATCACTGTCAGCATCTCCTCCATATATGTCTCATAATGTAATGTCAGGTCTCCAGTCAGTTAAAAATAATTCTTCTACACCAACAGGCTGAGAAGTTGTAATATACTTATTGCAAGTAATACATGTGACCTCTATCACAAAGATGAAGTATTAAAGTCTGGATGAGAATAAGATGAAATAGCCAGGTGTGGTGGTACAAGCCTGTAATCCTAGCCACTCTGAGGCTAAGCCAGGAGGATTGCTTGAACCCATGAGTTCAAGACCAGCCTGGGCAATGTAGCAAGATCCTATTTCAAGACAAAAACAAGCAACACAAAAATAGAGGGGGTGGGCAAAAAAAGTGGAAAAAAAAAGTACAATGAAAAGAACTTTGGAGTGGGAAAATCAGGGTTTCAATTCTGAATCTGATCATGACACTGGAATATTATCTTTCCGAATCTCTATTTCCTCATTACTGAAAGAGATAGTGGTACCTACCTACCAAAGTTGTGAGGATAAATGAGTTAATATAGAAAAGACCTAGTTCAGTGCCTGGCTCTAGTGGCTCTCAATCAATTAATCCCAGTTTTACATTATTGATGAAAATAATATTAGTGGTAGAACAGCATCAAAATATATTGAAAGTAAACTTTGTCTTTTATTCTTGTTAGGAAATGTTGACAAGTAACTCTTCAAACTGAAAATGTTCAGTTACTACTTTTTCAGCAAAATTTTATTCAGAAAATAAATTCACTTTTTAGTTGAACAGTAATGGGAGACCAATAACTACACCCCCCTCTTTCATTTCCAGTTGTTTATCACCATCCAGTTGATAGAAACATCAAAGGCAAACCTATCAACAAGGGTTGTTAAATTTAGGCCCAGTCTGAACTTTAAATACCATGTGATACAGTCTTTGTAAGAAGGAATATGGTTTAGGTTCTACTTGTCAAGTTTGCCTTGTCGTATGTCTCTGGGGAATTTATTCACCATTCTTTTTCAATTATAAAACAAGAATATCCAGATGTCTTCCATTATAATTGCTTCTTGGACTTTTGGCTAAGATCAAATGCAAATGTACTCCATTACCTATAAAAACTATGAGGCAGTGTCTCTGCTTAGAGTCATTCTTTGCACAACTCCAAGAAGTGCCAGTCACCTCTTAATCTTTACAGATTTTCATGTTATGAGAGCTTTCCAAAGATGGCTGTAAACATAAACATACAGAAGAAGATGCTAATGTTTGCACTAATGATGGAGCTGGTGGCTAGGTGACAAAGCACAGGTAAAGTGTCAACAAAGACCCAACATTTCAGTATGATCCTGGTGTCAAAGTTCTTGGCTACTCTGGCCTGTGCGATGAATCTGGGAACCTTCATGGCCATCCTGGCTCCAACATTCATCCCCTATGTCAGCTTGGCCAAGTTCACAACTTGGAGTCCCGGGGTTTTTTTTTTTTAAGAGTAAAATAAGGGATTTGAGGGCGTATGATTTTTTGAGATATTTCTGTAGTAGAACTGAAGGGCACTCTGGACTCTTTCTCCCCCAGGAAATCCTTAAGGACTGGATACACAGCATTATTTGATAACTGTTAAAAAAAAAAATCTACCCAGAGAAAGAGAAAGGTTGTAAGGAAATACACAAAAATATTAGTATCAGTGATCTTGGAATAGTTTGAGGCTATGGATGAATTTTTAAAAACTGCTTTTACTTCTTATATTAGCATTAATTACCTTTATGTCTACTTTTAGAATGGAAAAATCACTAACTTAAAAAACTATTGCTAAGGTACTTAAAAAACTCAGAGAGATATCAAATTGTTTGAAATAATTTAAAACTTGAATCTAAAATTTATGCTTCAGTCTAGCATTTTGAGGATTCAGTGAAAATATTTCTTAAAAGCTCAGAATGTCCTGTTTCCTATTCAAGATACAGTCCTATTCCAAGTGTTTCACAGCTTAGAAATGTTAGTATTTTAAAATTCAAAAAGATATTGCTTTATGACATCTGATACACTATACATTAATATAAGTCTCGATAAGTGAATGCAAATTTGATTTCCTTTCAAACCTAACATTTGGAAATGTACATTATTTATCCTTTGGAACACAGGATCATTTAGAATATAAATGGCGATACTGAAAGGACGCTTACCTGGTTGAAACACATTTTCAGCTTTTTGTTTATATGCTCTGGGCACTGCTCCAGCTGTTTTCATAAATGATAATAGAACAGGATATTAGCTTTTAGAGAACCTGCTGTCTACAGCAGAGTTATATCATGCAGGCATTGAGTATAAAAAGCATCAAAGTCTAGAACTGGCCAACATTGGCACTATGGGCCTTTTAAGTCTGAGTCTAATTCAATTAATTAACTAAATTATACTTTGCTTCCTTCCAAAAAAGGATTAAGTCAGCTTACATAAATGAATACAGCACAGTTAAAAAAACTGTGCAGATACAGAAATCAAGGTGAAGAAAAATGAAGCGATAAAATAATAAATATTCAAAGGGAGATGTCAAGAGGGCAGCTGGAGTCTGGGTTTCTTGGAAGAGAGTGCCAGAAAAACAGATGGGGAAGTCACTGGCATGTGGGTGGTAATATTAATGTTTTAAAGTTAGAGATTAGATGAGGTCACCTACAAACAGCATTTAATAGAGAAAAGAGAGTGGCCCAAGAACGAGCCTTCAGACATGCCAACACTGAGAAACCACGTACAATAGGAGCTGCCGCAAGGAAGATGGGAGAGAGGAAAGCAAAAAAATGGGCAGTGTGCAGTCAAGGGAGCTACAAAAAGAAGGTGCTTCAAGAAGGTGAAAGTGGTCACCTGGGTTGAAGGCCTCTGACAGGTCAGGTAAAAGTGACACTGCACTTATCAAGAGGTCACTGGTGGCCCTGACAAGAACAGTCATAGTTCAGCTGTGGAATCAGAAGCCCCATGGGAGAGGATGAGGTGAGAGTAGAGGGTAAAGAGGCAGAAACAATGATTACAGACTAGAAAATTAGGGATGGTGCCCAGGATCAGACTCATATAGTCCTTCTTGCATTCATAATTTGTGCTGTTTTCACCAATACCAACTATATCCATCATCTCCACAGGCAACAGCGAGCATGGAGATGGAGAAGAGACCTCCCATCCTCCTGGACTAGGCAGCTCTTCCCTCCACTTCTGCTGAGCAGCTTGCTTGTCAGGCATGCGCACCTCACTCAACTTCACCGCAGCCCTGCGCGAGCCCTTTGTAGACTACTCATTGTTACTGAAGCATAACCCATAGATGTGAGGCTTACTCTTTGCACCCCAAGTAGCTGTTGGAAGATTTTTTTCCAATCACATTTGGTACTGTTTCCGAGAGGAGGTTTGGTCGACACAATTTTCTTCATCTATCTCAGTGATGTCTTGGTGATTTCAGTAAGATGAGTGCTTTGGATACCTAATGTGCCTGACCTACCCAATCCGCAGCTCAGCTCCTCATAATAAGCAGCTGATGAGGTGTATCTAAGGAACAGAAACTTTGTTTTTGGTGGGGGAGAGGGAACTCAGGGACTACGTCCTGTTTCTTTTCATCTCTGCAACTATCTGTCTGTAAGATCTTTTCCACCTTTTGTAACTCACAGTCACAATGATTTCAAATATAGGTTTAATTACGAATCACCATTTGGTGTAAAGATGCTCATCTTCATTCACTTAAGCCATTCTAGGTCCTCTTATTGGAAACACTTTACATTTTTCTTCACTGAGGATTAAATTCAGGATATTCTATCATTCCCACACAGTTTCAAAAAAATAAAAAATAAAAAACAACTCACCTCACAACTTAACGCAGGTTCTTCCAATTCTGATGGTAGCTGATACTCAGGAAAAAAATACAGAAGAATCTCCCTAGGAATACAAGCACAGCAGATATGGGAATATACGAGGATAACAGAGGTAGCACTCACCTGTCAGAACTGGATTTGTCTTCTGGGTATCAAATATCCTGGCAAAGACGAATATTAGTTACCCCCAAACATTTTGTTTTTAGAATTGACATCAAAGTGTTTTTCAGAAAGCATAGACTGGGGAGAGGAAGGTGAGTGTGGCTATAAAAAGGCAATAGGAGGGACCCTTCTGGTGAAGGAACTGGTCTGTATCTTGACTGCATCAATGTGAATATCCTGATTGTGATACTCTTCTACAGTTTTGCAAGAAGCTAGGTGAAGGACGCAGGGGATCTCTCAGCATTATTTCTTACAACTTAAGGTGAACATATATTTATCTCAAAATAAAAAGGTTACTGAAAGAAGGAAGGAAGGAGGGAGGGAGGGAGGGAAGGAAGGAAGGGAGGGAGGGAGGGAGGGAGGGAGGGAAGGAAGGAAGGAAGGAAGGAAGGAAGGAAGGAAGGAAGGAAGGGAGGGAGGGAGGGAGGGAGGGAGGGAGGGAAGGAAGGAAGGGAGAAAAAAGAAAAGAAAAGAAATCAGCCAACCTCACAATGCCTCGCAGTCCATAAACAACCAGTCCAGGAAAGGCCTATACCTAGTTGAGTGTTCTCTTCTGCAAAGAACTCAACATTGCAAATTTCCTGGAAGAAACTAGGTTGACTACAGACTTACTGACTTTTTTCCTGAGAAAACCAAAGAGTTTAAGTCTCCAGAGTAATTTTTTCATGAGGGACTCCAAGACTGCTCTTAGAAATCATACGTGGACCATGCTCTTTCTAAATAGTGGTGGCCGTTGTTCTGACAGGTGCTTCATTTTGTCAAAAGGCAGTAGCACCCATCCTTCTACTGTGACAGTTTTTCTAGGATTAATCACCTATATGACACATATTTCATTCCTGGGAGAATATGAGATCTAGAAATTTATAGCCACCACATCTTAAAAGTGCATAGTATTCTAATGCTGACGTGTTCCAAGAGCTTCATGTATATTATCTAAGGGATTTACAACATCTTTCCAGTTGTAAAATAATATGGTAAACCAAAAACAAAACAGCTCTTTCTTATACAATTTACATTCCTCATACTTTAAGTATATTATTTGTATTAATACACATTTATAATTTCAAGGGGATTAAAACCAAAAAGCTGAAAATTCTTGGCATTGCCCAAACATTAAATATGACATACAACACTCGTCAGAGTTATTTGTCTGGCTAGCAAGAAGATAAATGGGGTAGGAATGGGATTAAAAAAAAAGTGGGGTTGGGGGTTTCCGGGTATATGAGATGAGAAGAAATCACATGGCATAGAAAGAAAAGTTGCAACAGGAGTTCCTGGGAAAGGCGTCTTGGGTCAACATTATGGCCATTTTGTTGGAGCAGGAGGGTGAGAGACCTTTTACACAAACTAACCTTGCTACTCGTCAAATCCAGGATCCCTTTCCCCATCACAGGCTTGAAACCTTTTAAGAGTATTAGTTCTTTCCATTGTGAGTATAAATTCTTTTGTCTTTAAATTTACAGCAAATCAGAAATCCCCTAAGAATATGCTTTTAGACAAATAAATATTAGATGGCAGCATTTACTAGCAAAGGGGAGAAACCAAAGGAGAAGTTTGGTGAGAGAAAAAAGTTCTGGATTAGTTCTCAATTACTTTCAATCTGGCATCTCTATTTCAAAATCTATAGCAAACATCATCTATAGTCTGAATACTGTCTTATGTCTGTACTATTATTTCTAAAAACAGACACATAATAGACATCTTTAAACATGATTTCATGTTTACTGAAATCACAGTATCTTTTGCCATTTTGCATTTTCTCAACTCATTAATTCCACAGGCATTCTTTAAACCCCTACTAAAACAACACCTTTGACCTTCAGTGCCCCACAGAGCCTGGCATCATGCCCCCATGCTAGGAACCCAATACAATCTTACTGAACTGATTTGGTCTAGTGGGGAAATGGAGACAAGAAAGCAAGCTATTCCAACACCATGTGATAAACGCTTGGAGGACGACGAGAAAGGTGCATCACGGAGACCAGAAGAAGGGGCTCTAACTCATATTTCAGTAGCCATAAAGGAAGAGTGGGAGTTAGCCGAGTGTAGTGGATGGGGGCATGTGAAGGAAGTATTCCAGGCCACCGGCACCATACACCAGAGAATTTTGTATTTTTCTTTGGTAAAATATCTGACCAAAAAGTTGGTTAGATTCAAGTATTTTTTCTTTGTGTTTTTTTGTTTGTTTGTTTGTTTGTTTTTGAGACTGAGTCTCACTCTGTTGCTGAGGCTGGAGTGCAGTGGTGTGCGATCTCAGCTCACTGCATCCTCCGCCTCCCGGGCTCAAGCAATCCTCCCAACTCAGCCACCTGAGTAGCTGGGATTACAGGCACGCACCGCCACACCCAGCTCATTTTTGTATTTTTTTAGAGATGGGGTTTCGCCATGTTGCCTAGGCTGGTCTCAAACTCCTGAGCTTAAGTGATCCACCCACCTCGGCCTCCCAAAGTTCTGGGATTACAGTTGTGAGCCACCGCACCCAGTCAATCCAACTATTCTTTATAAAGTACTAGAATCGTGCCAAGCACTGCTATAATTTTCTACACATAAATTCATGCAATCTTTATGGAAACTCTTTGATTGAGGAATTATTCCTATTTTCTCTGATTTCCTGGCTATTGAAGACACCCCCACCACCAGGCCCAAGTCAGTTCCCTGTACCCTCCTTCAATGTCTGTCTCCCTCCTGGACTCCCTGGTATTGAGCCTTTTACTCTCTTCTACATCAGATCGCTCCTAAATTGCTTCTCCCTTGGAGATTCTGGTCTGTAAGACTGACTAGAGAGGAGGACAAATTACCCAGCAACTTGCAGTCTCTAAACACAAACACACAGGCCTTTCCCTTTTCCTGCAAATTTAATTCAGGAAAACAATTAGATTCTGTAAAAACCTATAGGATACCAAAAATCATAGACTTAGGGTCTGATTGTAGATCCTTAAGAACTCTTTAAAAATTACTTCAGTTTTATTGTCTTGAGTCCTTTTCTTTAATGATATTCTTCAGCAATACTTTCTTTGTTCTTGAGGGTACATCTTATCAAACCTCTTTCTATCCTCAAACTTGAGATTTCCCCTAGAACAGACACAGTGAGCCATGAATCCATAAGGTACATTTCAACGTGGGCCAGGAGACACGAAGCACAAAATTATAGGAATAAACCAGCATTCATTCACTAGGAGCCACTGCATCAAGTAGATGCATCTGGGGCAACTCCTGAACCAAGTGCTGCCATTTCAATAGGACTTCTGTCCCACTTAGGAACAGGAATAGTCCTTCCCTTGAAGCATTTGCTCAGAATTTTAACCCCAGAGTTGATAATAAAATCAGAAATTTGTTTTTGTTTAACATTGTCTTTCTTCTCAAGAATTCAAGAAATAAATATCCTAAAGATTTCCTCCAAAGTTGTTACTTTCATCCAGAATCTTGGCTATGATGCCCATCTCAGCTGAATTTCTGTGGAATCCACATCCATATCTGCAAGTTTGAATTTGAAGTTTTTATAGAGTTCAATTAAGTGAGCTGAACCACTAAATCAACACTATCTCTATAAATCATGGCCAACCTTTGAAAGGTTCCAGTTAAGGGCCATTTCCATTTCACTCCATAGTCATATTCCTTTCTCAACAAAATAATTTTTACCAAGGAAAATCTTTGACTCATGATGATACAACTCTACTCTTTCTAAACATGGTAGACATGGACAGGAGTCCATAGAGTTACCTGGTCATCCAGCTTGTCTTTTTAAACAATAACCTAGTTAATTAGCTTAGTCCTGGCTAAGGAGAAGAGCAAGCCTCCTACTGGAGGTTGACCAAAACTTTCTTCCTCAACTCAGTAAAAGACTAGTATGAAATGGAAATGGCACAGTTCTAATAATGTTTTTTTGGCAGACCTCAACTGCTAGTATATGTATTTTCATGGCCTTTTCCTTTAACAACTGGCAGAAATGTTAAAAAGTGACTTTCTTTTTAAACTTATTTTTGGTATTTTAAAAATCTAAGATAACAAAAAGCATGTTTATATTTTTATAGAAATGAAATAAACGGAGTCTGCCTTATCAAGTTTACATATACAACAATAAACCAAAACAAGGCATTACAGTTCAACAGTTAAGAGCAAGGACTGTGGGGTCAGATTGCCAGGAAGTCAAATCTAAGCAAGTGCTAGGCAAATTACTTAACCTCTACATGTCTCAGTTTTCTCATCTGTAAAATGGGGATAATAAAAGTGTGTATTTATAGGATTGTTGTAAGATGACTGAGCTATCATATGCAAAGCCCTTAGGACTATGCCCAGCATATAGTAAGTGCATAACAAATATGTATTGTTACTAATATTATTGCTATTATTATTATTGAAAGAGATTTGAAATGTAATACTACTCCAACATTTAGGATCATCTGATAAAATTTAATAGTCTGGAACCAGTTCAGCTTATTTGCCACTAACTTAACTCAGTTGCACTCCAAGATTTAAAAGTATTTTAACGTTCAGTAATACTACTTACTACTTTTTACATGAATCCCTTTCAATTAAATTAAAAGTATTATTTAAATACATGCCGATATATGTTAGACATACTGTGGACAATTCAATCTGTTTTCAAAGATGTTACTTTATTTGGGAAGTCAACAAATGAATACACAAAAAGCAAGAAGTAATATAAGAGAGGAAAATGCCTAACTGAGCAAAATTAGGTAATGAGTAGGTACACTAAAAACTGTACTTTTAATTAATTGTTAGCATTAATTACACAGAGATGGCCAGACACTATCTTGGCATTGTGGAAACGGATAAGGATGATGTCACGTCCAAAGTGGCCCAAATGGAGGGAACACCCTTCACACTTAAAAGGTCTCTAACTACTACTCTTTTTATCATATGACAAGAAAGGTAAATATGGTAAACAATTCTGAGTATTTCTTTATACTTTATATCCTTTACATTGTACACAGTGAGCCACATTCTTCATGCCTTGAAAAACTTAGTCTAGTAAATTCAAGAAATTACATGTGGACCAGATATAAAATAGCAAATAATACTACAAAAACAACAACAAGAAAAACAACAAAATACCTAACAAAGAAAACAAGAAATCTGTTTTCACTGGTGAAATTTGAGAAAACACACTACATGTTGCTGAAGGCAAAAGAGAAAACTGGTATGACAAGGAGCTCATTTTGTTTTAGTTAAAGCTGTGATCTGTCCAAATTTTTTTCATCATTGAATATTTTTAATAAAATAATCACCACACAAAATGTAAGCTGATACAGAATAGAGCTGATATATTAACACATTCAGCTTTCAGAGTGCTCAGCTGATAACAGTATGATGATTCTAAGCAGTAAAGAGTCTGCCTGTTCATGAGAGAGATAGTTTCTGGGAAATTTTAATTTTCTAGTGATGCCTGATGATAGAAGTGGATGCAATTTAAAGTCTTAGTACACTCAATCAGATTATCCCCTTTTTGATCACATGTAACTCACTAAAATAATAGAAATGTTACACTTAGACAACAAAAATTAGCCAAGAAAAAAATCAGGAAAATAATGAATTTGAAAAAGAAAATTGATCTATCTGAAAAAGAAATTTAAGTAGCTATGCATCCAAACTCTGCAACACACTGCAACACACTCAGACAGGTACCTATAGGTCTCCTAGTGTGAAGAGAGGGTATGTACTATATATGATTAAGAGCATGGGATTCCAAATCAGAAAGCCTCACCTTAAACCCCAGCCCCATCCTTCATATTTATGTAATTGTCCATGAGACTTGTAATGTTAAGTTAGTTCCTCTAAGCTTCGGTCTCCTCATCCATACACAATATTTAAAAATAACACCAATTTCATGAATTTGTGAGAATATAAATTAATTTATAAAAAGTAAGTGGGTGGATGCCTGAAATATAAAGGTTCAAACCTGATAACTATTACTGTTTAGCTATTGTTATTATTATTTTTATGGAGACGGGGTCTTGCTATGTTGCCCAGGCTGGTCTCGAACTCCTCCTTTCAAGCAATCCTCCCACCTTGGCCTCCCAAAGTACTGGGATAACAGGCATGAGCCACGGTGCCTGGTGTGACAGTTACTATTATTAAGAAGGCCTGGTTCACTTGTAGCAATGTCCAAATAATTGGATATGTAGTCATAGCCATACATTTTTAATGATATTCACATTTATTCAAATATATACAGGCACATGCATATATAACTTACTGTATACTACTATGCTTTAGTGATCAACCAATAGGCCTGAATTTTAGGACCAGTAACACATCAGAATTCAAATTTATAGCAACCCACCTTCAAAGTTGAGGACCTTAAATACTACTTCTAGAAAAATACAGGCAGAGTATAGGAAACTAGTTAGAGAATCCCATTATTTAGGGATTATACTGTAAGCTACAGCAGTATAATACTGACATCTATCTAGATCATTGGATAAGTGGCCTTTTTCAACCTTATAATGCCTGAACCATGCTGAGGTCTGGCCTGCTTTTGTCCCATTTCCAGGCTAGTGGAAGATTGCCAACCAGACAGAATGGGATATTTGGTGGTCAGAACTTGGTGTTCTGGAATGTAGCAGTCTGTCTTCATTGCTCCATCAACAACTTGTCTCTGGATCCCTAGTGTCAGTAGTGAAAATAGGTCCCTCTACAAAGTCCAAGGTGGGTCCATCCACATGTAACCAAGAGTGCTTCCTCCCTCCTGGGGCAGGACTGTTGTTAGGCATGAGACAGCAGGTGGGGCCTTCATGCCCATGTCATAATCATAGCCCTGCAGCCCTGGATGCTGCTACAGAGACTTTCACCAAGCCCATGGCATCTGCGGAATTGGGTTCAAGTCTACTGGGGTTAGCAGTCTCCTCTCACAAACAGGACCACAGCCTGAGCCTTAGTAGAGGCTACAGTCCCTATGTAAGTGTTCTCCTCCATCTTTCTCTTTCTTCCTAACTGCTTCTACTGTTTGAGAACTCTCATCTTCAGGAAGATTATGTCAATCACTGATGAAAAAATCAAGCAGCTATCCTAAGGAAAAATACTATTCCAGGTAGGGCATGTGTTTGTTTTCTCTCGCCTAGAGCCTCTTACCCCACACAAGACCTTTAAAACCCAACAAAAGGCTGTGGATCCCAACACCACCAATGAGGTACAGTGATTTAGTGGTGCTACTGGCCCCACCTCCCACCCTCCCACATGGCACCTGTTTTAGAGCATGCTTTGGTATACAGACTTCTTTGACTTGATTTTAAGGCCCCCATCTATTACCAGTCTCTATTTGGAAAAACCCTGAATCATGAACTTTTCCCTCTCCTTGTCTCCATCCTTTGAGAAATGAGACCCAGACATTTAAATTCCTCAAATAACGTGCCCACAAATGTTAACATTCTACACAGAACAAAACAAGCAAAACTCAATTTCCCTCAATAAGTTCAGTATCCAAAACTAAAACAAACAAACAAAAAAACCCAGATTTTTTTAAAAAGGCCATATAATGTCATAAGAGTCTCTGTTGGGGAAAAAAGAAAGAAAATTCAGTAAAAATTATTTATTACATTCAAGAGAAGACTAATGTCTACCATACTGCCAAACTATGTAACAACAGGCAGTTACCAGTTCTATTATAAGGGACATTTAACCCATAGTATATCTAAATCAGCATAGTTACGAGAAAAGTCATAATGTCACGCCATTGAATTTATTCAGTATCATTAAAACTCAGTAAGGAAAACAACAGGAGTTGTAACTCCTTAGAAAGTGAAACAAAGCATGTGGAAATATGTGAGTAAACATCTTTACCTTAATTTAGACTTCAGTTTTCTCACTGTTTCCTTGACAGGTGTGCTTTGAGACGACGCTGGCAAAGAAGCAACTTTATCACTGCCACTCACACAAACTCTGTCTTTGCGTCCAGAACTTAGATTCACATCTTCCATCGGCACATTAAGCAAGCTGTGGTTTATCATTTCAAAGTAGAAATCATGGTAGGTATTAACAATTTCAGAAACATTAATATACAAGAAGGAGTGAAATGTTCATATACAACAAATGAGAACAAGAACATATGTGTAATGCTAAAAACTGCCACCACTGTAGTTACATGAAACAAATTCTTAATTAGAAGAATTTATATTTATTCCAGTCACATATTTTTTCAAAGTTTTTAGGTAGTAACAACTAAATGGAATTGGTGATAATTTATTTTTAACAGTAGTCATATACCACTTGTCTCTCATTTGCTGAAAGAGACTTTTGAAACCTGTTAAACAACTACAGAATATTTTTTGTAAGCCTCATGGTAACCATACAGCAGAAATCTACAATGGATATACTTAAAAAGCAACAAATTAAAACATACTGTAACCAAGTAGCCCCATTTTTCTAAGAAAAAGAAAATGAGTTACTATTATTTTTTATTATTTCTTATTTTCTCTTTTCTCCATTTCCCCATTCCCCACTTCCTACATAGTCCTTTAGAAATGCAATTGAAACCTTTTACCTCCCCTTCACTAGAAACTCCCTAGAGGGCAAGTTCATCTAACTGTATGCTTAGAAGCTCTAGTGGAACTTTCAGCCACCAGGAGACTGCCTCCAGAGATAACAGTTGATTTACAATCCAAAGTCCCACTACAAAACTCTCTCCCACCTAGAAAGTTTTCAGGCACCTTTAAAACCTATTTCTGCCCATGAAATGCTAACTTTACTGCCCAGTAGATAAGGCACCAAGCTAGCATGGGGACCCACACACCTGTTCACCTCCTCCCCTGAGGTGCCATTCATGATAGGCCCCCTTTAAAAGTGTCCACTTTCTGCTCCAAAGGTGAAGTGGTACCCTGAAGGCAGTAAGCCTGTACTTCTTCCCCTAAGCTAGCTTTGGAATAAAAAGTCACTTTCTTTACACCAGACCTAGCTTTTGTTAATTAGATTCTGCAAGCAGCGGGCAAGTGAACCTGCAATGTGGTTACAATACAGAAAAAAATCACTTAACCACGAATGCAAGAGACTTTTAAACTAAAGTTTATTTTAGCCTGAGAGAAAAGCACAGAAATCAAACAAAAAAAGAACCAAGTCAGTTGAGAGAAATACTTAGTCATGACCTGGAAGAGGAAGAAGAATGTTCAGAGCTACTGGGGTGGAGTGAACAGGAAGCAAATGGAAAGAGATGAGATGAGCGAGGTCAGTGTTGGGATCACAGGGCATCGTGGGCATGGGGAGGGAACTAGAGTTTCTTTTAAGCAGAGTGGGCACTACCATTGGAAGTTTTCAGGCATGGGAACGAGGTGATCTGATGCAGGTTTTAAAAAGATACATGGCTGCAGCATGAAAAATAACTCACGGTAAGGATGTGCAGTTTGTTGATGAGACTAAAGCTTTCAGTATCATAGGGAACAAAAAGTACAAGAGTCTGGGGGCAGTACAACATGGGAAATGAAGCTGGGGAGGGCGAGTAGGGGTCAGATCATGAAGGGTTTTGTTTGTCAAGTAATAAAAACATTTTTTTTTGGTAATCCTTTCATGCTGATGTCCATAAATTAAGATCACAGCTCCAGAGACTTTTACATGTTTATAAGATGAGGATCTTTTAAAATTGGATAACAGTTTATATCAAATGGAATGTGCTTCTACTGTCAACAGCTCTTTGGCATTAATTATACTGTCTAACTTCAGCTGATTTTTTTGAGATTAAGAACATTATATAAACTAATGCTTAATTGCCTGTTAAAGAATACTTACACAACGTCTGAATGCTCATTAGTTATAACCTCCTGTATGCTGACATTTTATTAAAGAAGTCTTTTTCTTTAACCATTTTAGCGATGTTAAAGATTCATTCATGTTGGCGTTGAGGTTGAAGGGTAAAAAGTACTATACTAGAGCACAGGAGATTCCTCTCTAAACCTCTCTTTCTTGTTCTGTTGAATAATAATGGGGCCTACCTCATAGAGTTATACTGAGGATATACAAAGAATGTAGCTCAATGTTTAGTGTAAGTGTTCAGTAAATAATACCTATTATTGTTGTTATGATCATCTTTATCATCACCATCATTCATAATGCATTTGGTAAGTTTCTTCCATTAAGATTGTTTTTCCCTAGAAGAAAACCTAGGCAATACCATTCAGGACATAGCCATGGGCAAGGACTTCATGACTAAAACACCAAAAGCAATGGCAACAAAAGCCAAAATAGACAAATGGGACCTAATTAAACTAAAGAGCTTCTGCACAGCAAAAGAAACTACCATCAGAATGAACAGGCAACCTATAGAATGGGAGAAAATTTTTGCAATCTATCCATCTGACAAAGGACTAATATCCAGAATCTACAAAGAACTTAAACACATGTACAAGAAAAAAACAACCCATCAAAAAGTGGGCAAAGGATATGAACAGACACTTCTCAAAAGAAGGCATTTATGCAGCCAACAGACACGTGAAAAGATGCTCATCATCACGGGTCCTCAGAGAAATGCAAATCAAAATCACAATGAGATACCATCTAACACCAGTTAGAATGGCGACCATTAAAAAGTCAGGAAACAACAGGTGCTGGAGAGGCTGTGGAGAAATAGGAACACTTTTACACTGTTGGTGGGAGTGTAAACTAGTTCAACCATTGTGGAAGACAGTGTGGCGATTCCTCAGGGATCTAGAACTAGAAATACCATTTGACCCAGCAATCCCATTATTGGGTACATACCCAAAGGATTATAAATCATGCTACTATAAAGATACATGTACACGTATGCTTATCGCGTCACTATTCACAATACTAGAAACTTGGAACCAACCCAAATGTCCATCAATGATAGACTGGATTAAGAATATGTGGCACATATATACCTTGGAATACTATGCAGCCATAAAAAAAGATGAGTTCATGTTCTTTGCAGGGACATGGATGAAGCTGGAAACCTTCATTCTGAACAAACTGTCACAAGGACAGAAAACCAAACACTGCATGTTCTCACTCATAGGTGGGAAGTGAACAATGAGAACACACGTACACAGGGTGGGGAACATCACACACCGAGGCCTGTAGTGGGACTGGGAGGCAGGGGAGGGACAGCATTAGGAGAAATACCTAATGTAAATGACGAGTTAATGGGTGCAGCAAACCAACATGGCACATGTATACCTATGTAACAAACCTGCACGTTGTGCACATGTACCTTAGAAGTTAAAGTCTAAAAAAAAAAAAAAAAACCATCACCCAGATCAAGTTATGGGACATTTCACCCAAGAAGTCGTTAAAGCCCCTTTCCAGTCAATCCTCACCCCATTCCCACTCTGGCAATCACCATTCTGATTTCTATCTCCATGGATTATTTTTGCTGCTTCTTGAAATTCACATAAAGGAATATACTGATTTTGATTTTTTTTATTGCAAAAAAAGATTGTTTTTTGTGGATTGTTTCTAACATTCATATTGTGTTTACAAGTCAACAGTGATTACAAAAAAACCAACAATCTCATAAAGACCAAAAAGTATTACATGAAATAATATATACATGCATATACACACTCACATACACATAAATGTGTTTTAGTTTGTTTTTGGATGAATCTTAAATTGTAAAGCAAATTTTCATAAATAATTCTAAGTCAAAGTAACGGCCATGGGAAGGCCTGGCAACAGCACTGGGGAAAAAAAATTATGTCACTTATTTAATCAACAAATATTATTGAGTGCCAAATATGAGTCAGTGTCATTCTGGATATTAGAGACACAGGGATAATAGCAAGACAGTCCCTACTCTCATGGAGTGCACTGGCATCTAGTGAAAAATAGAGAAAATAAGCAAGCTACAATTAAAAAATGGTAAAAAGAAATAGGTGGTAAAGGAGATACTTTAAAATAGTAATATACTTTTTGAAAAAAATAAAACAGGATGATAAAAGTGTGGCTTATCAGAAATGGGATGGGCTACTTTAGATGGAGTTGTCAGAGAAGATCTTTCAAAAGCTTAGAATTATGAAGAAGACAAGAAGGCCTCCGTCCTTTAGGAGCCTGTATGCAATGGGAAGACAGAGATTCAAACAGATAATTCCATTTGACTGTGATCACTGCTCACCACTGCGTGTCAGAACACAGAATTTAACAAATAACTACTGAACGAATTACAATACAATCTCAACGTTGCAACAGTGCCTCTGTGAATACCTGAGTTTGCTGAGGAGAGTCAAGAAGACCCTAAAGAAGGGAAAACTTGAACTAAGACTTAAATGAAAGGGTAACTGACACTGACATACGAGTTGCTGAGGCATTCAAGTAACGGAAGTGGTACAGACAAAGGGATGAGATGTGATAAAACAGAACTACTAGTAATTTAGAACCTTTGGGAAGCAAAGTGGGGGCTAAAAGTAGAGGCAGTAGAGAAGAGGATTTGTGCCATGCTAAGGAGTTTGTAACTTACCTTAAAAGTAGTGGGGGCTGAAAAGGCTTTGAAGTAGAAGAGTAAGGTGATGAGGTATGAGTGCTGGATTGACTCACTACCCTGTCAGCAAGTGCAGGGAAATAAAAGCCCCTCTCCGTTTTTTCTTGCTCTTAATTCAATGTGCTCCTATGCAAAGAGCACAGGATTTGGATTCAGAGAAACTGGGTCTGAACGCCTGGAAAGCAGCTTAGGTTTGTAACAGAGGATAAGGGTTTGCTTCCTTGAAAACATTCTTTTAATTCTATTGGATATCTAAAACATTCAGCTGATTTCATTTTAAAAGTGATAAAATTCTTATGTCAAGAAAATTCTAGCATGCAATGATTATAATTACATGTATGTATGACAATAAGATAATGAACCACAGGGGAAAAAAATCAGTTAATGATTTCATAATCATACCTTATATATGTGTGACATTTTCAGTTCTTTGACTACATTAAAGTAATTTGAATTGGTTACTTGCTGTGGGCAGGAAGTTAAGCCAGCTCCATTTCATTATTTCCAACTCTTCACGAAAGAAATGAAAAGGTTTGGGGGAAAGGTGTATTGCTAATTCTTTCATGTCTCTGTTGCAAAATTTGGTTCCATTCTTGATTGCTTTTGTTGCTATTATTTTCTTTCTTCTTGTACTTAAACATTGATAATTACTTTTCAGCAGTATAACTGCACTCACTTGGAATTTGTATAATTGTAGTACACTCACCTTTTCCAGCTAGGTAATGAAGAGCTTCTTTTCATTGCTAGAACATCATTGCACAGCTCCTGTTTTTCTTCAAAAGAACATAGACAAACAATCGCATTTGGATGATCACACAATAAACTGAACCAAAAGAAATGTTAGCGGTTCATTATCTACCTCTGTATAATATGGATTTGTATTCAAACATCCATTTATAAAACTGTACCAATTGTGAGGAGATGTATAATATGTTCTTAAGGTAGTTTATAATGTTTCAAAATACAGTTTATGTAGTATAGACAGTTATCCAACAGACTCTGTAACTCTTTTTTGGTAATTTTTTTTTTTTTTTTTTTTGAGACAGAGTCTCACTCTGTGGCCCAGGCTGGAGTGCAGTGGCTGGATCTCAGCTCACTGCAAGCTCCGCCTCCTGGGTTTACGCCATTCTCCTGCCTCAGCCTCCCGAGTAGCTGGGACTACAGGCGCCCGCCACCACGCCCAGCTAGTTTTTTGTTTCTTAGTAGAGACGGGGTTTCACCATGTTAGCCAGCATGGTCTTGATCTCCTGACCTCGTGATCCGCCCGTCTCGGCCTCCCGAAGTGCTGGGATTACAGGCTTGAGCCACCGCGCCCGGCCTTTGGTAATTTTTAAATTGACATTTTTTACCAGAGCCTGGAGTACTGATCAGAACTTTTGATTCCCTGCTTTCGCCAGCCTCTACCAAGACAACCATCTTCCCCCTAACATCTCACTCTCTCCTATTTGGGGTTCAGGTTCAAAGACATTCTGACAGATCCCAATACAAAATGTGTCTCCAGTAGGAAGGTGAACTTTAAAGCAGGAAGAGACCTACAGTCATTTAGTTAGTATCCTCATTCAGAGGACCTCAGAATTATAGGTTCACAGAGTTTGGTGATTTATTTCCAGTTCACAGCAAAGCAGAAATTCTATGGTCCACTTGGATTGTTCTAAGAGTGTCTTGGGGACAGTATAAGCAATGAGTCAATGTGTCCGTCTTCCATGTAGAAGTCTTTATTATAACTGTCTAGATATCTTGTTCCACTAAGTAAACCTTTACCAACAAGTTTACAGTTATTGAAGGCTAAGTAGCAGAGGACATCAACAAGCAAAGTTCTAGATGGTGGGTAAATGGCTGAGGATCTGCCTGACCCTTTTAAGGAAAAAGAATGAATGGACAGATGCTTTCCACCCATGCTGCAGGCACCATTGGTTTTACTCACTGACTTGCAATGCAAAGTGAAAATTTTTAACCCAATAGCTAACTAATTCAAAATAACAGTCATTTGAAAACATTTCACAATTTGTTCCTGCCAAACCTAGGAAGAATATTTAAAATTAAATACTAATTTTAGGATAAAATTACATTAGCAATTTTTCTAGTACAATTTGGAAATCCAACAGAACCATACATGAAGGCACAGTAGTAGTTTGAACTGTCTATAAAAGATTGGCTTTAAAATTAAGACACCCTTACAAAAGAAATCCTGATGGTGGAATTGCAAATTATTGTAATTAAGACGAAAAAGAAAAAGTGTGATTTCTTAGGGACCTCACTAATGGGCTCAAACATAAAGTTGTGAATGAATAGCTGATTAGGTTACCTAAGCAACAAAGTATGAAGGAAGGAAAAACATGCCACCAAAAGAGAACATAAAACCATGACATGGATTGATAAAAAAAAGGATTAGGAATGATGAAAACAAATGAGCTGAGACTAAGATCTTTGAAAGTTATTTCAAAATAAGACAAAGACAATGAAAATACTGGATGTGCTTCTCAGGTCCCATGGTATAATATCAAAATAAAAAGATAATGGCGTAATAATATTAGAATGCATAATAAAAGATTTACAGTAATAACAATGAACACTAAGAAAATAAAACATTTTGAATCCAGTTTGTTTTCAGCTTCTCTATCCAGGAAATTATTACTGGATTGAATATTATAAGATGGCAACTTCATGCCTTAAATAAGTTCAAGTCTTTTACCTGAGACACATTACATCGCCTGGACATGAAGAAACTATTTAATAAACGTGTTTGTTGAACTACTTTTAGGGACCTCAGAAGAATCATGAAAAGCAAAAAGTTACTAAAAGATGAAAACACGGGAACTGTCATCATTATAATTTTCAAAACAGATTTTGAAAAGTATTGACTTGATTTCCATCCTAATCAACATTAGAATGAGAATTCAAGACAGAGAGTGGCATAAGTCTACGGAAATTTCAGGCAGTGTGGCAGTGCTGGGGACACTATCCTCAGTCAGAAAGTGTCTCTCTGCTCCACCAAAACACACAATGTTGGCAGCTCACCCTCTCTCTACTCCTGTCACTTCTAGAACAACAAACTTAATTTTTTTAAATCCAAGTTGCTGACAAACTTCTGATCTATATATTAGGCTGTCAAGCCATATTGAAAACGTCTCAAACATTATAGCTAATATATATATATATATGAGCTGATTTTTTTTACCTTGGTTTATCAGAGGAATTTCCTTTTTTTCTTGTTTCAGTGAAGCATCAGTGTTGCTTTTATCTGAAACCTGAAAAACAAGCTCTTTATTTAAAACTGTACAGAAATATAGGACATATTATAAACCTGATAAAAGACCTTGAAAAGCAGTGTCCCCAGCAGAAAAGAGATCATAATGTTAGCAGCAGTAAAGCTATGCACTTGTTATAAAGGGAACAAATGGTACATGTACAAAACAATAATGGCATAAATCTCAAGGATGATTGCATTATCATAGTCATGTTTACTCATTTGATTTCTTTAAAGGGATTTTTGTATTTCTACTAATATTTGTGCAGGTATTTAAAAATTGATATTACACATGGAGGTAACAATGTCTACAACAAATGGGTCAAGTATTTGATTCACCAGAAACAACCATTGAGCCTCTATTGTTTTGAAGAAGCTTAGGGTACCTCTGGTTGCTGCAAAGCAGACAGAGTAAGAGTTCAGCATCCGTGCAATGAAAACTTTGGAGAGTTTGGGGCTGGGGCCTGTAGTTCCAAAGCATAATAGATAAGGAGATGGGGATGGGGAGTTGACCTGGAATACTGGGGGATGGGATATCTCATCTTCTGACAGAATCCCAGGCAAGTTGCCTGAAAGGGGCTGCAGAGCCTTAGTGTGTTGATTGCTGGAGCCAGGAGGGTTACTGGCACCTGGAGAGAGAGGATGGATGTGTGTTCGTGTGCGATTGGGAGGCTGAGAGGGTGGGAGTGGATAGGGGACATCTGAGGGGTGGAGTGCACCATTCATAAGCCAGGTCTATGATCACTTTGGGAATTCTGTTAAGATCCATTTTACAAGGCTCACATAAAGCTGACTTACACTTTGGGAATATACCTTAGATGAGAGAGAGAGAGAGAATGTGTCTGTTTATGCCTTTGGGAAAAGACAACCAGAATGCTCCCTCTATGTATTTTGTAAATCTGTGAGAAGGTAGAGGAACAGGCAGTTATGAAAGAAAGCAAGCAAGCAGAAGGCAAAAGCTCCTGTCTGCTCCTTGTTCTGAAGACCCCTAAACACACACTGATACGCACACAACCACGTCCCCATCTGCAGGGAGCTGTCAGTTTTTTTTCAAGTTTGCTCATTGTAGATATATCTTTCATCTTTCATGCCCCCTCCAACCTGCTAAACAAATGTGGTCTAGAGAGGATGTCAACTCGCTTTTTCCCCCCCCCCCAGGAAACAAAGGAGTATTTTTACATAGCATTCTGGAAACTGTGCTCTCTCAGGAAGCAGGTTAAATGGGCACACCCATAGCCTAGCAACACAATAACTGTGTAGCTGTCTATCATTGCCATTTTCCATTTCACCTAAATCAAGAGCAAGAAAAGCCTTATGGATAAGGGGAAAACAAATAAGACTACTTATAAGCTACTTTTGTCTATTTCAAAAAATTTTTGTACTTAAACTGTAAATAAGTGACTGCCCCAGGAAGTAATCAAAACACGTAATTTTTAAAGATTCATTTTGCAAAACATCTTTAAGTGACCTTAAAGTCTATGCTTTATTTACTTCTGATCAACATAAAATTTAAAGTTTTTTTCTGATGCGCTGATATATAAGGAAAATCTACATGATATTAAGTGTCTCCAACTTCGGACTAAAGATTTTTCGGACCAGTTTATAAGCAGCAGCATAGACTATTATCAACAATAGCTAATAGGAACCACAAGATAGGCTTATGAGAAGACCTATTTAATGCTTTTCGTTATAAGTACTTTGTTATAATCCAAGATGATTATATCAAAACGTGTTAATTTTCTTGGTAACTTTCTTTTATGATAAAATCAGACAAGATGAAAGTATCCAAGGTTAACAAAAATGACAGCACTCCCAGAAAAGAAATTTTGTTGTTGGTGTTATTAACACAGCCTCATGATATTAATTATGTTTGTATTCTATTGTTTAGTTCTCTGCTTTGAGCTCTGAAGGGCTGTTTTTTCTAGGATCAGATATGCCCTCTTACCCCAAAAATGTTACTTGTACAAAGCTCTGCCATCTCTATAACATGAAAAATTTCTTTTCTTTTCCTTTGTTGTATTATCTTTATTCTAATGTTTAAAAGATTTTTGGATAAATGATTTAAAGCCTACAGTATTTTCTTTGAAATAACATTGTGGAAATCTGATTTTATAGGATGCTGCCTTCTATTACAATATAGTTGAGATTCTGAATTTTTTCAAGATGAGACAAGAAAACACACAGCTGTTTTTTCAATTACATTGCTTGTATATTTGATCTTACTTACAAAGGTCTTTCATTTACATTAATTGGTTTCCTTATAGAAATGTTCTTCAGTCACTTAGGCTTAACTGTGTCTCATATTCTGAAGCTGGAGGAAACCTCTTGCCTGAGATTTTTACCTATATCATGAAATAGACAACACCTCACACAAAGTAAGTGAGATTATAGTTAAGTCTTAACATAGAGTTTAAGACGTCTTAATTAAAATTATGTTAACAATGAGCAGGGTGGGATTTGTCAGTTCTCCAAGGGATGCAATGGATCAACATAATACCGCATGCTCAATTTTGTAAAGTATCTACTTAAGAAGATAAATAAATCATAAATAAGTCAGATGAAAAAAAGAACATACCACAGGCAGCTGTGCAACACCTATTTAATTTCATTGCTGTTAAGGAAACGTAAAAACTGGGTAATATCACTTTATCTGATTTCTTTACTTCTACTCCTTTACCCCTCCACGCCTACTTCAAGCACTTATTACTATGAAGGAGCCATAAGGGCTATAAGACCAGTAAATACCTTTCGGCCTACTTCAAAGACTCCTTCTGTTTGCACTCATCCGCAGTTAACATTATGTTCCAGGCCCTCCCCTTCACTCAGTAATTTATTCACTAACATTGGGTTTCTAGTGTGGGCCAGAAAGTATTACGGTGAAAAGTTCAAAGTCCTGCTGATATGGTTTGGCTGTGTCCCCACCCAAATCTCATCTTGAATTGTAGCTCCCATAATCCCATAATCCCATAATCCCATAATCCCGTAACAGAAGGGACCTAGTGGGAGGTAATTGAATCATGGGGGTGGGTTTTTCCTGTGCTGTTCTTGTGACAGTGAGTAACTCTCATGAGATCTGATGGTTTTATAAAGGGCAGATTTTCTGGAGGCCAAAGGTAAAGCAACAACAGCTCATGGAAGGGGTTGGTGGTAAAGTTATGACCACAACCATATTGCTAGAGTAATAATCTTGGACAAGAAAAATACTTTCTTTTTTAGAAGCTAGGAACTAGTGGAGACCCCAAGAAGATGAGCCTCATGACTATGACTGGACTCTAGCTTGACTAGAAGGACAAAAGCTGGGTCTTAGAAGAAAAGAACTATTAACACATTGTTTAGGTCAGATTTAGGGTGAATACAGAGAGAAATGGGCTTAAGAGAGCTTAATCTGGGCAAGGCATGGATGATGGATTGGTCTTTTAAAATTGATTCAAGATACTTGGCTGGAGAGGCCCATCTAAAAAACTTTGGAAACACAAGCCAAAATGCTGAATGTTAGCCAGTGCAATATATAGGTAGACCTTGAAACTCTCATGCCTGAGTAAAGTGTATTTAGGTACTTCAACTGACCCAAGTGGAATGGGCTGATTGAATGGAGGTAGGGGACAGTTATGAAGGTGGGAGGTAAAGGGAGATGTCACATGAAGAGTGATTACACAAGGAGAAGCAAAGTCTAACAGCTGGGGCTCAAGGTGCCCACCTCCTGGCAGTGTGACCTTTAGTGAGTTTAATTTTCCCCATCTGTAAAATAGGGGTGAAAAGAATACTTGCCTCTCAGGTTATGAAGAGGTGACATGAGATGATGGAAGAACAGTACCTGAATTTCATCATGGCCACACAGAAAGAGAAAAGACCGACTCTACTAGAATACACATGCCTGTGTGCGCACACACACACACACATGAATTTCTGGACAATTCAGCTTTACGGGGTCAGAGATAACAAATATGGACCACCCTAGCTACCCTAAAATGGTGGAGAGGGCTGTAGCTGTGCTAACAAGATTATGAAAAATAAGAAGTTTGCTGAAACGCAGAGTCCCATACCAAATATCTCCGAAGGAACAACTGAGAGGCTATCTAGAGCATTTGGAAGAGGATTAAGATTTTTTAAAGAAAAACAGCTCATTATTTTCCTGGCAGTTTTTTTAATCTCCAGAAAATGCCTGGAGCTTTAACCGAATCCCAGTTGGAAACTTCTACAGCTCCAAATGATGTGCAAGGTCTTGCCACGAACACGCTCATTGCATGGACTTTGAAAATGAATGGCCCACACTGGCTAAAAGGCCAAGCATAAATATCAGAAAGAAAAAATGTGGTCGGGCGTGGTGGCTGGCACCTGTAATCCCAGCACTCTGGGAGGCCGAGGCGGGCGGATCATGAGGTCAGGAGATCGAGACCATCCTGGCTAACACAGTGAAACCCCACCTCGACTAAAAATACAAAAATTAGCTGGGTGTGGTTGTGGGTGCCTGTAGTCCCAGTTACTTGGGAGGCTAAGGCAGGAGAACGGTGTGAACCTGGGAGGCGGAGCTTGCAGTGAGCTGAGATCGCGCCACTGCACTCCAGCCTGGGCGACAGGGTGAGACTCCGTCTCAAAAAAAAAAAAAAAAAAAAAAAGAAAGAAAAGAAAAGAAAAAGAAAAAATGCTGTGGAAGCAATACCAACAAAGAATATGAGCAGAAGTAACTAGAGATGTGACAAATGAAGCTCCATACCACATGAATGATTTGGAGCATGTTAAATGGGAGGCATGGTGCAGAACAAAGTGCCAGACATTAGAAATGATCAGAAAATAAGGATTGTCCCCACTGGGAAAAGAGGAAACAAGAAGAATGTGGTTTTTAAAAATTGCTTCAATAAGGCTGGGCATGGGGCTCATGCCTGTAATCCCACCACTTTGGGAGGCCAAGGTGGGTGGATTACTTGAAGCCAGGAGTTCGGGCCAGCCTGGCCAAGACGGCAAAACCCCGTCTCTATCAAAAACACAAAAATTAGCTGGATGTGGTGGCACACGTAATTCCAGCTACTCGGGAGGATGAGGCAACAGAATCACTTGCAGTGAGTGGAGATTGTGCCACTGCACTCCAGCCTAGGCGACACAGGGAGACTCTGTCTCAAAAAAATTTTAAAGGTAAAATAAAAAAATAAAAAATTGCTTCAATAGATCACAGGCCTTAGAATAAAAGTAATAAGAAGAGCATTCAATCCAGAATTGAGGGGCTCAGTGGTGGTAGGGAGAGAAGAAGTTAGGAAAACAAATAAAACATAACAGTAAGCCACAGCAGTGAGGTAATTTTGGAGAATGAACGATCAGATGGCTGAAATAATCAGCAACGGTAGGGTTAAATATGAATCTGGAAAATAACAAATACTTTTGTCATTTCACTTGAAATTGCATAACTATAAGTACAAGAACCAGAGTGAGATGTTGCCTGAAACATGGAACAAAGAAAAATAAAGTGCCTTAATATGAAAAAAAAAAACATTTCAAAAGGCAGACTGATAGACATTTACTAATTGTATTAACATAGCAAAAACAAATCTGCCAGTCAGAATGGAGTTATTCTCCTGAAAGCATGAAAAAAACAGTTATAGAAACACAGGCAGGAATAAGGCAAAGGTTCCCAGAGTCAGTGCTCTTTTAGTATTATAGTTGCATTGGTAACATCATCTCCGTCACGTCTCTTGGGGAGGTGGACACAGCAGGCTGTCTTAGCTGGACGCCTTTTAAATATTCAGGCACCCAGCTCACCAGCAACTGTCAGATTATAATTGGCCAGCCCATGCAGATGGGCATAATGGGACAGAATGCATAGCTTAAGTCAATATGTGCCTTCCAATTGAACTGAGGCTGTATTTATCTTTTAAATAACTAAACTGATATTATGCTATAATACAACAGTTTTATGAATTTGGATAATGTGAAGTCATCCCTGTGAGATGAAGTTTCTTTGGTGTGCTGAATATACTATATTTCTTAGTTTTTTTAGTTTCTTATACCTAAAATAAGACCCTGGGTCCCACATCCAGTAAATTTGCCAAAATAATAAATGCCACATTTGGGGGTCAGGGGAGGGAGTCTTTTGTGGTAGCTAATTACTCTTTCTTAAGTGACAACTTCCTGCACCACCATTAGCACTGAGTGCCTTCCTTCTTGAAATTTAATAGACACAGGGGCACACACACACTCACACATGCACACAGATACATGCTATAATTAGAAGATAACTAGGAAGGAGCACGGGGGATGGGATGATCTTTTTTTAATTTCTAGGTTTAAGAAAGTACAGACAGACAACATTGAGGAGCAATTATTTCCTACTTGCATTATTGCAACTCCAGCCAAACAGAAATTAATGTGCATCTCTGGATAATACGTGTTTATCCAAGTTAATTAGACACCATGAGTATGAAAACAGACATCTTGCTAGGATCACAGAGACACAAATCATACCACATAGCTACACACAGTAATATAAGAACTTGAGAACTACTACCTAAAAAGACAATGTTTTAAATATAAATGCCATCTCTAATTCATGAAAAGGCACTTGCCAAAAGCTCTGTGCAAAGCTGAGAGAGGTGACAAAGTAAAGGCTACATGAAAACTCACACAGACTTTGAAATTTCTGAAAAGCAAGTGGTGAACAGTAATATTCACAGGTACAACTATATTACATTTTGCTTTGAAGAGGTCAAGAGAGGTGGCATTATTTACAACACCAGTTGCAGTTTTGTCTTTCTTTCTAGCCTCTGATTAAATTTTGACCCTTTTCCTTTTGAAAATACTTTGGTGTTTACTTTTTTCATTTAGTTGTTCTTTACTGTTAATAGTGAGGCTATTTCTGTTCCCATTCACAAATCATGTCTATACTTTTTTAACATCCCTTCAAATGGCTTCTTCAAATGATTACAATTTATGGATGAAATGATATGATGTCTGGGAGTAATGGGGGCAGGGAGGGGATATGGATGAAACAACAATGGCCATGAGTTGATAACCACTGGAGCCGGGAAATGGGCACATTTCCCATGGTTGCACTATGTTTAAAATTTTCCAAAATGAAACAACTTTTAAATAAAACCTTCATTATAGTTATGTCATGTACCTTGTGACAATAATTTTCTGGTGAAGGACATTATCATAAATTAAGCTAAAGTCAGAAGAAGTGGTATGTCTCTCATTGGCACAAGTGCAATTTAAACCTAATCCACAATTCTACATAGCATTTTGAGGGACCTTACCCTAAAGACATGTCCAAAGAGGCCATGTCCTTTTCTAAATACTCTCACTTATCATGTCAAAAATAGAACCATCTAGGCTACTGTAGTTGCTCTTACGCAGGTTCAAGTTTAGCTATAAGCTTCTTGGCAATCAAGGTAAAAAGGAAACTATAATGAGTAATAAAATTTATATTCAGATAAAAGAAAATATCAGATTTTTTCCCTGACATGAAATTCTCATGTGTCAATTACTTTTAGTGATTTTTTTTTAACAGAAAGGACACTATATAACATAATGAACACCATGGCTTCACAGATAAAACATTTCTCATATAGTAAGTCCTTGAATCATTTCTTGCTAAACACCAAGGGCTTTTTACGTTTGGTTTAGTGAAGGCAAAGCAACTCGATTCTACAGGAGCCCAGACAGGTACTCCTTGATATCAACTATCAAGTTAGAAATAGGAAGACATTATTTAAAGGAGAAAATGGGGAGCATGCCCATAATCCTTGAATAGACTTTTCTCTGCCTAATTTAAGTCAATTTAGAAGTAAACCTTCTGGTGAGAGTCCAAATTACAAATTATAGAAAGGATCATATTCTTCAGATTTGGGAATGAGTTTTCACAATGACCTTCAAGTTATATATATAACTTTTGTAAATTTTTGTATATTTACATATATATTAAGGCTTTCTTAGCCTGATAACTAAAACAGAAAGGGGCCGTGGATTAGGGGTGGAGATGTGTAAGTTCCAGATGTATCTCTACTAGTTTATGTAGCCTTGAGCAAGTAACTTAAACTTTTCTGAGTCTTATTTCTTCATCTAAAAACTAGGTTATCCAACTAAATGTTTCCATTACTTTGAGGCACTAACAGATCCCTCTAACCTTTGTGAATATGAAAATGTCAAGGTGTCATTTAGTGTTTAGTTTATCTCACCAGGATAATATCTGAATCACTCTTGCTGTTGTCATCTTCAATCAACACCTTACATTCCTCTACAAAGTTCAGACTCTGCTTCTTTTTCATTTCCCAAAAAGCGGCCTATACCAAGGAATTAACAAAAAAAAAATACAAGGATTAGTTGCAATCAATGGTACCATTAAGCTACCTTCACTCTTCATTCTGCCTCTACATACTGTAGACTTTTGTAGGATATATAGCGAAAATTCAATTTCTGATCTTTGCATATGATAAGCACGTGGTAAGATTTACTCAGAGCATATCTGCCTTCCTAATTCCATGCTGCTTAGGTTAATATTAAAATTAATTATATTTCCTGAACCTTCTCTGTTGGTGGTAATGCCTAGTGTGTTTATTGGACAGGATATTAGAAATTTACTACAAATAATCCTCGAGTAATCAAACGTTGTTTCAATTACAGTTTAAAACCTGATTAAATTAATTTTTCAAGTGCTTATAAAGAATTTCACAATCTCCTGATTTATCCAGGAGAAAATGGGGATTTCTAGATTTTCTTAAATATATAATGTCTTCTGGAATGAAATTAGCTTATCTTTCTATTTTTTTGTTTGTTTGTTTGTTTGTTTGTTTTGAGACGGAGTCTCGCTCTGTCACCCAGGCTGGAGTGCAGTAGTGCGATCTTGGCTCACAGCAACCTCCGCCTTCCAGTTTCAAGTGATTATCCTACCTCAGTCTCCTGAGCAGCTGAGATTACAGGCGCCCACCACCATGCCTGGGATATTAGCTTATTTTTCTAAGAGCTGATATGCAATCTGTCTCCATTTCTTCATCTTCCACTTAGCGGTAAATTCATTACTTTTAATGGCAAAAACAGCAATTACTTTTGCATGAATCTATAATCTGGTTTCTACTCTTTCTACTCCAACAACAAAAATATTCCTGAGATCATCCCTCTTACCTCTAAATCATTAAGTCAACAGACAATTTTTATGTCTTTGGCCAGTTGAGATGGCTTCTCAACAGAATTTAGCCTTCGTGACAGTCTCTCTTCAAATCACCCTTTTCCTCCATTTTGGTTTTAATGAAATAGTAAATTCCTGGTTTCTTCTCTTACTGCTCTGGCAATTCCTTCACAATCATCTGTGCACAGCTGTACTCTCGTAGCTAGCCACAAAATGCTAAAATTCTGCAAGTTTCTATCTAGTCCTTCTTTTCTTCTTACTCATTCAACCTCATTCATCCTTAGGCATGTAAATACCTCACAAGACTGTCTCCTATTTAAACTTCACCTCTGAAATCCAGACTCATGTTTATGACTTTTCACTTGGCACATCGTCTTGGAAGTCTCAAACTATGTAAGCTGAACTCATGCTGTTCTCCAGAAGCCCAGTCACCTTCTACAATGACCAATTTCAATTAATGGAATCACCATTCAACCTGGTGAAAGAGCTCAAAATTCTGTAGTCATTCTGCTGTTTTCCTCTACATGATCCTCTATATCCAATAAAGACAGCCCCCAGGAAAGGGCAGTGTTACCTCCTCCATCACCATCATCCTAGCCTACACCACTGTGATCTCTCCATCAGAGCACGGTCAAGTCTCCTAACTGCTCTGCCCACATTCACTTTTGTTAAGCATTATCTGTGAAACAGAAACACCATGTACTGGTTATCAGTTCCAGAGGAGGAGTCTCAAAACTTCTGCCTATAGTATCTTGCTTATTGGAGTTGCCAAAGAAAACACAATGCAGTCAGGCACTAGATGGAACAATGCTTTACTCACATAGAGAAGAGCAAGATCAGCCTCAGAAGTGTGTATCAGTCCCCCATGCCCAGCAGGCTCCCCCATCAGCCAATGCTGGGCAATTGGCTACATGCACCCTTCTCATACTACAGGAGAAAGATGCTGTGTTCCCTCCCTAAGGAAGACAGATATAGCAGTGGGGTTGACCAAGGTTTCATGTGACACACACATTTAAGTAGAACAAAAGAGCATACACTGGACTTGCAACAGAGAAAATATTTCCATACAAGGCAATAAACCCAGCATAGGCCATGTGTGGTCTTCATCTCTTGGTAAGAGAATGGCTCAAGGTCCATTCTTATGCAGCAAGGTGGAGGCCAAAATGCTATACCCCTGAGACTGTCTTTCCCAACAACTCTGCTCTCTCCTAACCTTTCTTCTATACTCAGCCAAAGCAATCTTCACTAAAGAAAACTCTGGTCATGTCACTTCCCTGCTTGAAACTCTTCAATAGTTTCCCATTACTTACAGGATAAATGCAAAACCCCTTATGGGTGGCCTATAGGACCTGCCCTACTCCTTCACACCACAGTCCCTTTCCATCTCTTTTCCCTGCCATAGATTACTTGTCTTTTTAAAGTTCTTCATGTTCACCATGTTTCCTCTTTTTCCATTGCTTAGAAGTGCTTTTCCTCCCCTTTTACCAATGTAATTACATTTCAATCCTAAAAGGCTAGTTACCATATTTTCTGGGAAGATGTTCCTGTCCTACCAGAATCAAAAACCCTTATTATAAACACTCATGCTACTGTGTCATAAAAACTGCCATAGTAGCAGTTGACGTTTGTCTCTGTAATTATTGGGTGTCTGTCTCTATCACTAGACTGTAAGTTTGATGGTGGCAGAAACCATATGTGGTTTTATTCCCAAATCTCCTGTGACTGGCATACTGAATGGCACATAGTAAAATTATACATATACAGACACATCTATGTATATACTGGTATAAGTATATATATCTACGTGAAGTGTGTGTATATTGCTTCATATAGCTTTACATATTATAGGTTTATGCACACACACACATGCACGTGCATACTGAGTGAGTCCCTGTATTTAATGTCTAAAATGTTTTGTTCTAACACTTGGACACACTCTCAACTTCTCAATGGACTGTATGTTTTTAGAGCATGTAACATATCTATACAATAAACTGACAAATCCTAAATCTTGAAATTGCACAGCTAATGAGTCTTTCTGGAATTCTGAGTTAAAAGAGATATGATTATAAAGTGATAACATGCAGGAGTTCGAACACAGCAAGGGTTGAATATCTGCTGAATATATAAAATGTTACATTCAAGTACAATACATAATTCAAATCAACAAAAAACTTGAAATTCTGTAGGTTGTAAACAGATGCAGCTTGGCTCATATAGTCTCAAGAAAAGATTTGGGCAAAAATTTCAAAATTATAGGAAAATGGACTTGAAATACTTTAAGAGGATGAGCTACCCAAAAAATGGTATTAAGGAAAGGCTGCCTTAGGAAGTAAGGATTTTTACTAAAGATTTTCAGAGAGTCTGTATACCATTTGCCAAAGATATTACAAGGAATGTGTGAGAGATTTCTATAATGTAACTACTATTCAAAATAATTCCTTTGGAAAGGATCATGCATAAAATATCTTGCCTCCCACCACGACTAATCCAATGTCTTACACTGGGTAGAACTCAGCAGATATTTGCTAATTAAGTAAGTTTATGGCTTTCAGAGCCTATAGCTGTTCATTTGAATATTTCCTATGGTGAACAATATCTACTCCTTAAGGTTGAATTTAATTTGTGGAAATAGTAAAAGGGCATTAGAAGTCAAATGTGATGGACAAGGTAGATAAACTAGGCAGTAAATTTTGGCTTAAAAAGATATAAAATGAAAGTTATTGAGATGATGTCTATAATCATTCAGCACTGAACCTAGCACAGGGTAAACGCCCATTCAATTGTAGGCATTCATATTGTTATAAACTGTATCTGAGGGCAAATCCTCAAAAAAAAGAATTAAATAATGGCAACTCTGTAAGAATAAATGTGTTGTGATTCTTTTCAAAGAAACAAACTCATCTGTATACATGAAAATTCTAGAGTGGTGCATTTGTTAACATGACTCTCAACACTTAGTAATACATTATATCCCAGTTTTTTCAGAACCTTGATTACAGGGTAACAATATGTATGATTTAGCTAAGCATTTTTCCTATAAAGCATTGAATGCAAAACTTAAAGATTAAAGGTTTATCCTATATGAATATTTCTCCCTTAAATACAAATTTAAAAGCCTTTTCCCACCTGGGCATCCTTCAGGGCCTCTTCAGTTGGTTGAGCTCTCCAGACACTGGTAATATTAGCAATCTGACTTTTCTTTCAAAACAGAGAATACAGAAAAAAAATTAGAAATTGGGACCTTGTCCAGGAAACACAGATTGCAATGTATATTTTATAATTAGAGTGTCTTAAAATGTGAAGATGAAGCAAAACCTTGACCGAATGCTATTTCCAGAATAAGTGAATTGTTTTGTGAACAAGAAACAATGATAATACCTGGGATCTCTCAGCTAGTGTGACATTTTCTGGCAGAGCTACTGGAGGTCTCTGCTGTTGAGAGTTCATTTTCTCCTCCATAGACTTTTTCATAATTTTCGTTTCTGAAATATATTCTACATCAGAGTCTGTCTCTTCTATGTTTCTTTTCTGTCCTCTATGGCTCACTGAAAGCTCAAAGGATGAAAGAGATTCATGCTTCAAGTCATCGCCCAAAAGCCTGATTTTCTGGGTTTTGGTATTTTCCTTAAATAACAAAGAACATGTTTTTATTTTTTGGTAGATAGCTTATTTATAACTAATCACCACTTCTCTCATAACCTCATTATAATAGGTATTTCTTATTGCTAATACAAAGTTTAAAAATCAAAAGTTTAGAAACAACTTTAGCAAATGTATAATGCCACAATGGCTTATTAAGAATTTGATTCCTAAATAGCTGCAAAGTTGTGCTGGGTCAAGAAATCTGATTTTGAGGATAAAAAAGCCCAGCAATTGAGAACACACTGTGCATTCTGACTTCATCCCAATAGAGGTTCACTTGCCTTTGGCTCCCTGCTGCAAACAAGGCTGGTCCTTATCCCTATCCAGATTCACATCCTGCTTCCTGCCCCTTGCTAGCTGCTACTGCAGTCAATGAAAGATACATTTGCTAAGAGACCTAGAATAGACGTGCCTGCTTGTTAGAGCCTATTCTCTTTTGTAAGAAACCAAAAATAACTATTAGAAGGAGAGGAGTTGAGGGCAGAGCACCGAGTGACATTCTAGTTATTCTAAGCATATCATTATCCTCCATAGCCTTAGTGTCCACTAGTCAAGTAACCCTCTCCGCAACAGTGCTGAGGGCTTAATGAAACTCTTTAACTCCCATTTTCCTTCACATAAACCACCACCATTTTGTAAAGTTATGATACAGTTGAGTATACTAGTTTGTTCATAGCTAAGTCAAATCTCAAGGCATGAGACAATGTTATTATTACAGAGGACTTACAATGACATGTTACAATCTTTTCCCATGGCAAGTTACTTGCAGGTGATTTTTACTGCTTTCCACTCCAGAAGAATCCCTTTCTTCATCTTGCTCTCAGACTCTGGTGATAATTTATTATAAAACGGGTAGGTTCTAAGTCTGGTTTTGCAATTCAGGTATGTGGTGATCTTAGATAAATTACTATAAAAGGAGGGAGCTGGATTATAAGACTATACCAGCTCCAACTTATTACTGGGTTCATTGGTCTCTGATTCCTTGATATAGTAGCAGAAGGTGCAAATTAAAAACACACATACATAAACTAAAAAGACAGGATGGAAACAACTGTTCCAATATTTAAAATGAATAGTAAAGAAATGCCAAAGATACAAAATACATTATGTATATCAGAAATCTATTTATTTAAAGGTTGTCTGAGTTTATAAATCCCATCATCTGCCTGTTAAGAAATGTGAATAATTAAAATTATAAAGAGTTCCATATTTTTGTGTGTGACTGATATAAGTGAGAAGCTCTAACTAAAGGCTCAAAAATGTTCCTCTCTAAATTTTAAATTCTACATAAGAACAGACATTTGAGGAATATAATGTAATATGACATTTAGCAAACACAAGGAATATAATGTAATATGACATTTAGCAAAAACATAGGAACTATATATACAACATATTTCTAGGCAAATACACATCCGTAGACAAAAAACATATATGTATATATCCCTAGAAAGTATTGGAAAGAAATACATCATTTAAAAAGGTTATTATGCACAGGAAGGAAGATAATGGGTGATTTAAATTTTGTTTATGTTTTATTTTCTAACTTATCCCTAATAAACATGTATCACTCTAACAAGAATAAAATGGCAGTTAAAATATATTAGTGCTTCACTGTGTGAACCTCATAAACCATGAAGACCGTTGGCCCTCGATAAGGCTTATCCTTCACATGGTTAAAACATGACATAAATTGCTTAATCCTACATTAATTACTCACCTTATTTGCTGAAGTTAGGCAGGTGGAAGTGACAGTGATTTCGTCCACTGGTATAAATTGAGGCTTTATGGGAAAACAAACCATTAAGGCAAATGTAAGTAAAAATAACCTTCAGTTGGCATAGGGTAATAATTCAGCATTCTCCATTTCTTAAAGAAAGGTCAAGATAGCAAACCCTCATGAATAATTGTTCAAGGAGTGCATTTAAGTTTATATATGCTGCAGTAATGTTCTGATTAGTAGTGACAAGACAGTGCAAGAAAATCCAATGGTTTATTGAAGCATTATGGATCAAATGTCTTTGACCAAGGCATTGCTCTGTTGAACTGAGTCTCGTGTCCAGCCTCCACAGCCCTTGTCTCTTTTCTCTCAAGACTCTGTTCCCCACCTACAGGGTTCCGGGTCTGGAAGGAATCCTGACCTTAGGCAGCAGCACTGTCTAGTTCAGAGCTCTGGGCATCAGCTTCAATGGACTCTTGAGGGTAAACTGGCCCTGACTATGTCCCTAATGCAGTCAGTGCCCAATCACATTTACTATTCCTCAGGCTTATTTTCATATTTCCATACTTTGGCCTGAAATGACTTTTCCAAACTTGTCCATTTGTCAAATTCCACTCATCCTTCAAGTCTCAGTTCAGATAACTATCCTGAAGGTCTCCTCCAATTCCCCAAGGGATAATTAATTGCTTTATCTTCTATGCCTGCATGGCATTGTTCCTGTCTACATGTTTATAGAGGTAATGTAGTCACATGTGACAACACATTTTTAGAAGTATATTAAAAGGAAGCCTCTTTACTACTTCAATCTCCACTTGTCTAATTCATATTCCATTAACATGTGACCACTGATACCACCATCTTGTTTAATGTTTCTGGAGATTTGTTTATATTTCATATATATAAGCGCATATATGTGTGTGTGTGTGTGTGTGTATATATATATATATTTTTCCCACTTTTTGTGGCAGGGAAAGATGGTAGTATATTATACACACGGTCTGCATCATGCCTTTTTATTTAAGGATATATCCTAGAGGTCTTTCTCTTTAGTACATAAAGAGCTTCTTATTCTCTTTTACAGCTGTATTGTTGTATTCCAGTGTATTGTTGCAAAAAAAAATGTATTTAACCAGGTCTGTTGATTGACATTTGGATCTTCTTAATCTTTTACTATACAAACAATTTTGCAGTGACCAACCTAGTAAATAGGTAATTTCACATTTGGGTTAATATGTCCATATAATCAATTTCCAAAAGTGAAATTTCTGGGTCAAAAGGTACATGCATTTACAATTTGGATAGACACTGCTAAATTGTCTCTGCCAGGCTTTTTGGTGGCCTAGCATATAGTCATCCTGTGATTATTCCAAGAGTACTTGAAAAGAAATACATCCTCTATTTTGAGAGTGCAGAGTTTAGATAGATAGATAGATAAATAGACAGATAGATAGATAAAATTATATGTATATTGCTATTATTATTATTGATTGTTTAGGTATCCCTGAGCTGAGAGTAAGTTAAAGTTTCCTATTACTAGTATGATTGTCTCTTTTTTTCATATATCACTTGTAATTATTGCTTTATTGACATCATACACACGTTTGATATTGGTTCAACCATTTTATTTTATCCTTTACTTTTATAATTTAAGTTTTTAATGATATATAGTATTTTCTCTTTTTCTGGTGACCTCCATTATGGTGATAACTTTATATAATATTTTTAGTTTTCTCTGTCTTTAGACAGGATCTATGTATTTCCTACTCTGAACAGTAGCAAAATTTATTTTCTCTTCCCCCTTTTCTTCCCCTGATATTTATCAACAGTATGATCCTTCCCAGTGTCTAACTTAGTACTAAGAAGTATGTTGAAATCAAATAAATGACACCTCTTGGTCTCCTATTACAGTTGAGGCAAACATCAAACTACTTTTCCCCTTCTATCACCCTTGCCTTTCCTTTTTTGTTAGCTGAATTATTTTTACATTGCCAGGGTATTTACACTCAGTCTGGTGTTTAATGTCACATATATTTTAGGCTTTTTGCTTTAATTAAATACAGTCAATGCTTACATCCAGTTCTTTGCTGTAGAATTTTCAGACATCTCTTGCTGGTTGAAGTTTGATCCCTGGTAGTTTCCTCAAAAAGAGACCATGAGAATATTTCCTGAGTTCTTTCCTATTTTTATTTTATTTATTTATTTATTTATTTGAGATGGAGTCTTGTTCTGTCGCCAGGCGGGAGCGCAGTGGCACAATCTCCTCTCACTGCAACCTCCACCTCCCGGGTTTGAGCGATTCTCCTGCCTCAGCCTCCCAAGTAGCTCAGACTACAGGTGCACACCACCATGCCCAGCTAATTTTTGTATTTTTAGTAGAGACTGGGTTTCACCATGTTGGCCAGGATGGTCTCCATCTCTTGACCTTGTGATCCGCCTGCCTCGGCCTCCTGAAGTGCTGGGATTACAGGCGTGAGCCACCATACCCAGTTCTTTCCTATTTTTAAAACTATTTACCTGTAGGCTTTTTATGTGAAGAGTAATTTAGTGAATATAAAAGTCTTGGTTCACACTTCCTTTCCATGAGGATCTTACAGTTTTTACTTCATCACCTGGAGCTGATTTTTTTTTAGAGAAGTTTGAAGCCAAAGTGAACTGTTTTGTCCCTATAGGTGACTTGATGTGTATACCTGTTGGTCAAAGGAATCTATATTTTTACAGTTGAGTAATTTTATTATAATATACATCTTACTATTGACTATTCTGGGGGCAGTTTTTCCCTATTGTGTAGCATACCATTTCAAACATGTAGCTTCAAGTTTTACCCTTTTCCTGAAAAGCATGCCTGGTTCATATCTTTAAAAATGTGTTCTTCCATTATTCTGTTTTCTCTGGGTATTCAAATTATGCAAATATTATGTCTCCTTCTTACTTCTATCATTATCATTTTCTGTGTAATTAATTGTAAGCAATTCTTTCCTAATTTCTATTATTTTTATTTGCTTTTTACTTTTATCCTCTACACCAGGGGACAGCAAACTTTTTCTGTAAAAGGTTAGATAGAAAATAGTTTTGCAGGTCAGTGTTCTCTCTGTCTCTCCTCTCCCTTTCTCTCTTTACCATCTAAAAATGTAAAAGTCATTTTCAGCTTGTGGGCCATAAACGAACAGGGGGTGGACTGGATTTAGCCTATGGGTAATAGTTTGTGACCTTTGCTCTACAGCCCCACTGTCCTTACCAAAATGATAATTTGCCTTGTGTTCTTTCCAATTGTATGATTTCATTTCTTCTGTTTCCTTAAGTTCTGAAAATTATGTTTTATTTCATTGTCTCCTACAGTCTCAGCATCTCTTCACAAATCCTTATATTTCTGTTTTAGAATCTTCTTGCATAAAAATGACCTTTTTCATTGAGTTTTAAAAAATGTATGTATAAATGTGTATGTTTAATTTCCTTCTGATGTGCATTTTAATTTTTCTTTTTTCTAATTTACAGCTTTAGTGAGATATAGCTGAAAAACAAGTAACAGCACAAAATTCAAATATATAATTTGAAAGCTTTTGATATATGTATAATAATCAAGATAATTAACATACCGATCATCTCCAAAACTTTCCTTGTCTCCCCAGCACCTCTTCCAACCCTGTCCCATTCCTAAGCAACCACTGATCTGCTTTCTCTTGCTGTCAATTAGCTGCATCTTCTGGAGTTTTATATTAAGTGAAATCACACAGTATGCAATCTTTTTTTTGTTTGACCTCTTTCAGTCAGAAGAATTATTTAAAAACTCATCCATATTGCTGTGTGAATCAAGAGTGCATTCCTTCCTGTTACTAAGTAATTTTCCACTGAATGGACATGCCATAATTTGTCCTTTCACCTTTTGATGGTCATCTGGATGGCTTCCAGGTTTTGGCAATTACAAACAAAGCTGCTTAGTATAAGCACACAAGCACAAGTTTTGAAGTGGACATATGCTTACATTTCTTTTGACTAATACCTCGGAGTGGAATATCTGGGTCATATGATAGGTGTATCTTTAACTTTTTAAAAACTGCCAAACTAGGCTTACTCCTATAATCCCAACCCTTTGGGAGGCCAAGGCAGGAGGATCGCTTGAGGCCAGGAGTTTGAGACTGCTGTGAGCTATGACTGTGCAGTCCAGCATGGGCAACAGAGTGAGACCACATCTCAAAAAACAAAAACCAAAACAAACAAAAAAACCCCGCCAAACTGTTTTCCTAAGTCATTTTACCATTTTGCATTTTTAATGGTTGCTCTCTATCCTAGGTCAACATAGCATAATCATTTTAACTTTATCCATTGTAGTGAGTGTGTAGTGGTTATCTCATTGTGGTTTTAATTTGCAGTTCCCTTAATTATTAATGAAATTGAGTTTTCATGTGTTTATTGGCTATCTGCATGTCTCCCTTGGTTAAGTACCTGCTTAAATGTGTCTATTTTTTAACTGCATTGTTTTCTTACTATTTTTTTTGTTTTTGTTTTTGTTTTGAGACGGAGTTTCGCTCTTGTTGCCCAGGCTGAAGTGCAACGGCACAATCTTGGCTCACTGCAACCTCTGCCTCCCAGGTTCAAGCGAGTCTCCTGCCTCAGCCTCCCGAGTAGCTGGGATTACAGGCATGCACCCCCACGCCGCCCGGCTAATTTTGTATTTTTAGCAGACATGGGGTTTCTCCGTGTTGGTCAGGCTGGTCTTGAACTCCCGACCTCAGGTGGTCCACCCGCCTTGGCCTCCCAAAGTGCTAGGATTACAGGCGTGAGCCACCGAGCCCAGCCGAGTTTTAAAAGTTCTCTCCATACTCTAGATACAAGTCCACTGTCAGGTATTGTTTTGCAAATATTTTCTCCCAGTCTGTAGCTTGACTTCAATTTCTCAACAATGCCTTCTGAAGAGCAAAAGTCATTAATTTTGATGAAGTACAATTTTAAAAAAATTCTTTTTATAGTTCATGCATTTTGTGTCATATTTTAGAAATATATGCCAAATACCAGGTCACTAAAATTTCTTCCTATATTTTCTTCTAGAAGGTTATCTTTTACATTTA